CCTTGATGCTGGCATGCTAGTAATTTAACAGAGATTGTTGATTGATTCTTCTTTCCTTCCAGAAGAAAACCACTGCCCACAGTTATGATTTTCTAAGACTGATTCAGTGATGTGACCCCTTCACATTTCAAGAGTGTTTTTATAGACAGAATATGTAAAAACTCTGATAATGTAAACGTGTTACAGAAATGCCAAAGAATCCTCAATATCTTTTGCATGTTTTAACTTGCAGGATGTAGAGGCAACTTTAATAAGTTGCTGAAATTGGTGGACCCAGGGCTTGAGAAGACATGTACACAGCCTGCACACATATTTATTTATTGCATTTCTATACTGGGGGTTTTTTCACCCTGGGGGGGAGTCTCAAAGAAGTGTACAACATAATAAATGGCAAAAATTCAATGCCAGACATACATATAAAAGCCACACATAACATATCTAAATCAATAACAAATAACTATGAATTAAAACCATTAAAAACTGTACAGAAACATCAAACACGGACCTAAAACATTTAGACATTGCAACAATCCCGTGGTTGTCATTTAGCTGTTTCAGTAGTACTATCACTCTTCGAATGCCTGTTTGCACAGCCAGGTTTTTAGTTGTTTTCTGAACACCAGGAGGTAGGAGGGCAATCTAATTTTTCTGGAGAGTTCCACAGCCAAGGGGCCATCACCAAGAAGACCCTCTCTCTTGTCCCCACCAATCACACCTGCGAGGGTGGCGGGACCAAGAGCAGGACCTCCCCAGCTATTCTTAACACTCAAACTGGTTCATAAAGGAAGATGCATTCAGATAGGAAAGCTGGACCAGAACCGTTTAGGGATTCATAGGCTAAAGCCAGCACTTCATAGGCTAAAGCCAGCAATTGTGCTCAGTAGCAGACTGGCAGCCAGTGGAGCTAACACAACAGGGAGGTTGTATGACCCCTTTACGCCACTCCAGTAAGGAACCTGGCTGCTGCCCGTTGGACTATTTGAGGCTTCTGAACAGTCTTCAAAGGCAAACCCACGTGGAGCGTGTTGCAGTAGTCTATTTGAGATGTAATGAGGGTGTGGACCATCGTGGCCAAGTCTGGCTTCTCAAGGTATAGCCTGTATAAAAGTGTGCATAGGGATTATAGAATCAAATAATTTAAAGGTGCCTCATATGCCATCCAGTCCAATTCCTTGCTCAGTGCAGGCTCTCCAAGTTTTTGAAGACATCCAGAGAAGAAACCTAGCCACTTATCTAGGCAATTGGTTTCAAAATCTACCCTCCTGTAACTTAAAACCACAGGGCTTTATAACTGGCTTCTTCAAAACTGTGAAATGACCTGCAGAAAGAGATCTGACAGCTAAATCAGCTGTCAGAATTCAAGATACAACTGTAGACCTATCTCTAACAGCAGGCCTATCTAGTCAATTTTAACTATTAATTTTAAATTTACATTCCATGACGATTATATTTTAATCTTTGCTCCGTGTATTTAAATATGTGTATTTTATAGAGTTGTGTTTTAATATATGCATTTTGTTGAATATATTTTATGATGATGTGTTAGTGTTGTGCCTGTCTCAAACCATAAGAAGAGGCAGGTAACAAATTAAATATATTGTTGCTGTTATTATTTAAACTGGGGCTCATGTACACTAACCACTTAGTTTGGTTTGGAACTAATTTTGTTGTCTGGACAATGAGACTGGCCATTCTAGAACAGGTTTGAGGCCAGGAAGGTGATTATATTAACCATAAAATGTGACCTTGAACTGGTTCCAGAATCTGCAGCATCTGCTGCTTGGCAGCATCCAGAGAATGCAGATTTCCCCACTATTTCCTTGCTGAGTTGTGCAGCAGAATTCTGGAACCATACAGGGTCGGATGGGGGGAGGAGGAAAAGAGTTAGTAGTGGAGGTAATCAATTACTTGTCCCAGATTTTGAGCATCTGGAGATGCCTCAAGTTTCAGAAGGCAGAAATTCTCAAGTGCTGAAATCCATAGCAAAACTTCCACGTAAGAAATTGGCAGAAAAGTCCCACTTGCACAAAGAAGCCAAGAATTAAACACAACCAGGATTTGAATTACAGGATGTAATTCTTTTCGAACTGCACCACCTCAACCTGTAAGGTATTTCATTGTTTGTCCATCTAAACCTTTTTCTTAAGGAACAAAGCCTCTTTTTCCTTCTGATATGCTTTTTCATAGGGGAGGTGTTGTTGTTGTTCATTCGTTCAGTCGTCTCCGACTCTTCGTGACCCCATGGACCAGCCCACGCCAGAGCTCCCTGTCGGCCGTTACCACCCCCAGCTCCCTCAAGGGGAGGTAGCCTTACATTAATCTATAATAACTTTGAACTTTCCATAAAAATAGTAGCTGTGTAGATGAACAAATAGAGTCTGTTAACTGATATGGAGAAGTGATCGCCCTGAACTGGTATCACAAATACATCATATGTATTGACTTACTGTTCTAATGCCATTTCCTTTTATGGGAAAAGACATAGGGAATGGGGAATATTTTAAAAAAAATGAGAATACCACTACAACAATAGTCAATACACATGGCAGAATATTGACACTAATAAGCTGTATATTTATGAGTTTACTACACTATTATATACAATAGGAGTTGAGTATCCATGGGTTTTGGTATCTATGAAGGAGCCATGGAACAAACACCAGCAGATACCAAGTACCCACTACATTTAGGCCCTATAGCAACAAAGTAGTGGATCCCATAGTTGATATAGTGTGACATTTGTTGCTATATGTCCTAAATATAACACAGTACGTCCTTGGTATCTGCTGTTTGTTCCATGATCCCATCATAGATACCAAAATCCACAGATGATCAACTCTTATTGTATATAACAACATAGTTAAATTGTGTATCCTACAGAAATGACAAAATAGAGTTGCTTTTTGAATTTTAAAAATATTTATTTTCAATCTGTGCATAACTGAATCTGTAGGGAGCACACAACTTCCCTGTTACACCAGCCCCACTGGCTGCCAATCTGCTACCGAGCACAATTCAAAGTGCTGGCTTTAGCCTGTAAAGCCCTAAATGGTTCTGGCCCAGCTTACCTGTCCGAACGCATCTCCCTCTATGAACCATCAAGGTGGTTAAGATCTTCTGGGGAGGCGCTGCTCTCGGTCCCACCTGCTTCACAAGTACGGTTGGTGAGGACGAGAGAACAGGGGCTTCTTAGTGGTGGCTCCTCAGCTCTGGAACTGTCTCCCCAGTGAGATTAGATCAGCACCCTTCCTCCCGTCCTTTAGAAAGAGAGCAAAGATATGGTTATGGAACCAAGCTTTTGACTAGTAAAATAACGCAGTACAAGAAGCAATATGGAATATGTGCAATCGACATCTGGAATGGCCCAGTCTACGTGCATGGATCATGTGATTTAAATGTTTTATTAGGTGTTTTAATTCGTATATTTCATGTTTTAAATGTCCTTTTATCTTATCTTATGGTGAATTGTCCTATTGATGTTATGCTTAGTTATATGGTGTTGATTTGTGATTTGATTTATGTATGTACGGCATTTAATTTTGCCGTTATTTTTGTGTAAATTGCTTTGAGTCCCCCAGAGGTGAGAAAAGTGGTGCAGTGGAATCTTGCTTATCCAACCTTCAGTCATCCAACGTCCTGTATTATCCAATGCAGTCTGCCTCCCGCCTGGATCCACAACTGTTTCAATACATTGCAATGTTTTGGTGCTAAATTCATAAACACAGTAATTACTACATAACATTACTGTGTATTGAACTGCTTTTTCTGTCAATTTGTTGTAAAACATGATGTTTGGTGCTTAAGTTGTAAAATCATAAGGTTTTTGATCGAATGCTTATGTTTTAATTATTACTTGTAACTGTGTGTTTTAATGTATTGGGTTTTTTTGGCATCTAATGCCTGCTGTAAACCTCCCTCTGTGGAGGTGAAAAGGACGGGATAGAAATGTCCAACATAAATAAATAAAAAATAAATAATTTGACATTTAACAGACATTTTCCTTAATCCCTCCTTATTATCCAGCATGCATTGTAATGTGGCTCAGTCTGTGTATATGTGCTTTGTGTGTGAATATATGTGTATATTTGTATATATGTGGTTTTGTGCATGCATATATGCACGTATATATTTGTATATATGTATATATGTGTGCGTGCGTATATATATGTGTGTGTGCGGTTTTGTGCATGTGTTGTAATGTAATTTTTTTTGCTGTATTTTTCAGTGTTTTATGAGTGATGGTCACTCGTTGGCCTGATACGTGTATTGCGTCCAAATTTGGTGTGAATTCGTCCAGTGGTTTTTGAGTTATGTTAATCCCACAAACGAACATTACATTTTTATTTATATAGACTAACCATTCCCTGCCACGCATTGCTGTGGCCCAGTCTGTGTATATGTGCTTTGTGTGTGAATATGTGTGTATATATTTGTGTGTGTATATATGTGTGTGTGTATGGTTTTGTGAATAGTAAGCTAAATGGGGACAGCTAGTAAATAATAAATAGGTGCCAACTTTTTGACTATGGAGAGCCACCAGTACAGAGCCCACGTACTTTAAAAGGCACCACATCCCATTTGATGTTAGAAACTAAGCGGATTCAGCCCTGGTTAGTCCTTGGAGGGGAGACAACCAACACACAATGGGTCCTGTGGGCTCTATTTCAGAGGAAGGGACTAGCAAAACCACCTCTGGAGTACTCCTTGCCTAAGAAAAGCTGATGAATGTTATGGGATCACCATAAGTTGGCCTAGAGCAGGCCTGGGCCAACTTGGGCCCTCCTTCCAGGTGTTTTGGACTCCAGCTCCCACCATTCCTAACAGCCTCAGGCCCCTTCCTTTTCCCCCTCAGCCGCTTAAGCGGCTGAGGGGGAAAAGGAAGGGGCCTGAGGCTGTTAGGAATGGTGGGAGCTGGAGTCCAAAACACCTGGAAGGCGGGCCCAAGTTGGCCCAGGCCTGCTGTAGGCCTCGCCCGCCTCAAGACTTCCGCGCCCTGTGGCTCCTCCTCCTCCTCCTCTTCCGCCTCACAAACAAACAAAAAGTCTTGTTATGAAACTCCCAAGGAGGCGCTTCTTTCCCGCGCCTTTCAGGGAAACACAAGCGTCTGAAGAGGAAGGAAGGAGGAGGAGGCGAAGGAGGCCGCGGGTGAGGTTAGCAGGCCTTTCCTTTTACCTGGCCTTCAGTAGGCCCCGCCCCGAGGAGGGAGGCCTCGCCTCCGGGCTTTCTTGAGGGGGCTCTCAGTGGGGAAAAGCCGTAGGAAAAGCTTGTTTGAAGTCTGAGGGGAGCCTTCAGGCGTGCATGTGAAGGCGAGAGAGGCAGATCCCATTTCCCCACTATTTGGAAGTTATGTAAAAGGTAAAGGTAAAGGTTTTCCTCCCTTGACATTAAGTCCAGTCGTGCCCCTCTCTGGGGGTTGGTACTCATCTCCATGTCTAAGCCGAAGAGCCGGCGTTGTCTGTAGACACTTCCAAGTTCATGTGGCCGGCATGACAGCATGGAGCATCGTTGCCTTCCCTCCAAAGCAATAACATATTGATCCACTGGCATTTGCATGTTTTCGAACTTCTAGGTTGGCAGAAGCTGGGGCTAACAGTGGGAGCTCACCCCATTCTCTGGATTCGAACCTGCGACCTTTCGCTCATGCACTTTTGGTTATGTACTTACTTATGTACTCACTTTATTTTGTTTTTGTTCCCTTCAGGCTATCTCCAGGCATGGGCAAACTTGGGCCCTCCAGGTGTTTTGGACTTCAATTCCCACAATTCCTAACAGCTGGTAAGCTGGCTGGGATTTCTGGGTGTTGAAGTCCAAAACACCTGGAGGGCCAAGGTTGGAAAATACTAATCTACACAATTGAATTTATGTAGTTTTGTACCTATCAGCTGTTAGGAATTGTGGGAGTTGAAGTCCAAAACACCTGGAGGCCCAAGTTGGAAAACACTGATCTACACAATTGAATTTATGCAGTTTTGTACCTATCGGCTGTTAGGAATTGTGGGAGTTGAAGTCCAAAACACCTGGAGGCCCAAGGTTGGAAAATATTGATCTGCATAATTGAATTTATGCAGTTTTGTACCTATCGCTGTTAGGAATTGTGGGAGTTGAAGTCCAAAACACCTGGAGGCCCAAGGTTGGAAAACACTGATCTACACAATTGAATTTATGCAGTTTTGTACCTATCGGCTGTTAGGAATTGTGTGAGTTGAAGTCCAAAATACCTGGAGGGCCCAAGCTTGCCCATGCCTAGGCTATCATGACAGTCACAGTACGTTGTTGTTGGGAACAGACACTAGAGATCTTACCTCACCACACTTTGAAGATGATGTACTTCCAGTTTGGATATATTTGGGAAATCATAATAATCACACTGTTATAATTATTGCATGCTTTTTCTCTTTCAAAGAGACTCGAAAGCAGCAAACAGGGCTGAATGAAACCTAGACGATTTCAAACCTCAAGGCTATTATAAACACTAGATTTAAACCTAAGATGATGTAAAAATAAACAGTTCAAACCAATAATGCCTATTTGAAAATACAAAAAAAAAATCACACAACGCACACACACACCGGCTCTGTCTTAAAAGCTTTATTCTTTGACAGCCTCAAAGCCAGTGTTCTCTCAAAATTTATCATTCTGAGGGAAAATAAATTCTTAGCAAATTTATTTTTTATTTATCATATCAGAAACAAACCGAGGGTACAGTTGTAATATTTTCTAAAACACAAAGTGTTAAAAACTTGGCATTATACTAAATGTCCTTTGACCAGTAGCTGGCCACTTGGAGTGCCTCTGGTGTTGCTATAAGAAAGTCCTCCATTGTGCTCAGGTTGCATTGTAATAGGTAGCCTGGGGTTTGCTCTTCTCCACACTTGCATGTTGTGGACTCCACTTTGTGGCCCCATTTCTTAATGTTGGCTCTGCATCTCGTGCCAAAGTGCAGTTTGTTGAGCTCCTTCCAAGTTGCCCAGTCTTCTGTGTGCCCAAGGGGGAGTCTCTCATCCAGCATCAGCCATGGGTTGAGGTTCCAGGTTTTAGCCTGCCACTTTTGGACTCTCGCTTGCTGAGGTGTTCCTGCAAGTATCTCTGTAGATCTTAGAAAGCTATTTCTTAAGGCATTGGCGTGCTGATATCTGAACAGCATGGGCCGGAAATGTCACTGCCTTGGTCCTTTAATTCTTAACAAATAATGCCTACCTATACACACACACACATATCCAGATTCAGTATCCCATATCCAGAATTCCAAAATCTGAAATACTCCCAACATTAATTCACAGCTGAGGTAACAAATAAATACTAATAATAACTGTATTTATAACCCTCCCTCTTTCCCCGAGAAATAAAAAAAATGGCAAACATTCATTTGCTCTCTGATGGTTTGATGTACGCAAACTTTGTTTTCATGTACAAAATTATTAAAAAATATTGCCTATAAAATTACCCTCAGGCTATGCGTATGGATCAGAGCTTTCCAAACTCTCTGTGTTGTGACGCATTAGTGTGTAGGTGTGTCATGCAAATGTAGTGAGAAACTTCTGAGGCTATGTTAAATAAGCAATATATTGTGTAATTTTAAAATATAAATGAAAGGTTTTCATGAGATATGTTGCGTCCCCATCCATTTCATTATTACAATTTATGTATCTCATTTGAAGGGTTAGTTTAATTGCTGGTTTGCTAGCAAAACTGAATGACTGTGTCATGAAATGATGCATATCTAAAAATGTGTCGCCAACATATGTTTGGAAAGCTTTGGTGTTGATGAGACATAAATAAATTTTGTGTTTAGACTTGACATTATGTATAAGCTATATGGAAAAAAATGTAACATTTCTGATCCCAAGCATTTTGGATAAGAGATACTCAACCAGTATGCCCTTGACAAAACTAAAGGTTCTAGTAGTAGAGAAGTGTCACAAAATTACAAAAGAAACTTTAAGGGGGTGAGTGGATTTGAAGCTCTGTGCATTGACAATTCAAGAAATGCATTGCTGTGCTACGACTATTTGAACACCTGACATAAAACTACAATTTATGAATTTGCAACCCTGATTAATTTATAATTTGGATTAAATCATTATAATCATATTTATTATTCAAAACAAGTGTATTTCTTGGACTTCATATAATAAATATAGCCATTACTCATATTAAAGGGACCTAGTTATCAGCTAAGGTTTGAGTCTCATATTTATTATTCAAAACAAGTGTATTTTCTTGGACTTCATATAATAAATATAGCCATTACTCATATTAAAGGGGCCTAGTTATCAGCTAAGGTTTGAGTCTAGATTGTTTGTATAGATTGTTTCTAGGGTCATTATATAAAGGATAATGTAACAGATACTGTATTACATCATCTCTTTCTCCTGACCCACAAATACAAAGTCGTTGGGCATGAGGGATCCCTCTACACCTTCTCTCTAGCCAGAAAAAAAAAATTGGACATAGGAAAGTGTTATACCTGTCACTATCCACTTTTAGTGTTACTTTTTAACATATGTATGTTACCTTATATCTGTAAATAAAATGTTGAATGTTCAGCGACAATGATGCTTCTTTGCTCCTTGGTCTCTTTCAGTGTTTGAACAGAATGGCCCCTGGAAAAGATTCAAAAGACAAGAAGCATCTCAGGACATGTGGAAGTACATCAGAAAAAGAGATGAAATCAAATAGGAAAAGAAAACGTGACTGTGAAGATCTAGAAAATGGGCCACAAACCAAAAAAATAAATGTGAGGAAAGCTCCCAAGAGTCTGGACAAAGCAGGTAATCTTGAATTGTCATTATTATTATTATTATTCCACTTTATCTCTCTAAAAAGACACTCAAAGTGGTTCTTATTATTTTCTCAAAATTCAATTGTATTCTGTTCTGTTTGTGTTGTTTAATTATGCAACCATTCAGATATGTAAAATTTCCAGAAATTGTGAAGCCACAGGAAAAAAGGGCTTTTCCCTTCAAAATGAAATTTTCAGGAAAAAAATTATTAATCCCACTTGATAGAATGAAAGTTATTTAGTGACTTTAGGAACATAATATTCATTATACATATGTTTGAGTCACATTAAATTATTGTGTTTGCTATATTACAAAATAGATTGTTTTGTAATATAGCATATATACTGTTCAAAATAGAATTACAAATTGAACTTACAAATGGAGTTACGTGGTCCTGAACTATAAGGAGCATCCGAACGATAAGGAACCTGTTGGATTTTGCCATTATGAGGAGCAGGCAACATTTCCCCCAATAAAAACAAGGAAAATATTAACATTCATAAAACAAGGAAATATGTTTGTTATCATTACTTCTCTGTGATAAGAGTCATTTCTATATAATTCATATACATAAAAAAACTGAGAAATTGTAGTGATTTGATTTTATATAGTTTTTAGAAATGATTTTGGGACAGCGAATACATCTTGTCAAATATTTTATCAATTCTAAAAGAAAACGTATTATTATAAATTATTTTTTCAAGGAAAGGGTTTTGGGAAAATGGAAAATATTTTTTCTTAATATTTTCCATTTTCTTTAGGGCCTTCATATCTCCATTTCCTCCTTTCTGTTTCAGAACCTTTCTTTGAAAATGTATCTTTGAATGTTATATTTTATCTGCTTCTTCCTCATGTGGCAATGAGATTATTTGATATTTTATCCCTCTGCTTTGTGAGTTGTTTAACAGAATGAGGATAGAGCTAAAGAGATTGTGTATGTGTTTAGATGTAACTAAACACCAAAGGTATTGAAGCAATGCTTAAAAACAACAGATAAACCTCTGTAAGCTGATTTACTCAGCAACATTTTCCTGGACAACAATGTTTTTAGGCTTTTCCATGAAGTGTCAGCAGATTTGTTAGTTGCTGGCAGTTTTTCCCCCAACAATGTGCATGTTATATAACTTACAAAATGAACCTGGAATATTCTGCCTCAACAGGAACTTTAGAGAAAGGCAGGGATATATATCCTCATGATTTGGAATTCTCTGGAGGATTTCCTCCCACTCTTAACCTGAATCAGGTTGTGCTTTTTCTGTGAACACAGCACTCCAAGTATTTACCAAAATAAAAAAACTAAAAAAAATCACAGAACAGGATGGAAAAGAAGCAAAAAGAATACAATGGGATTTTTAATTCTACAGTAATGTATAGAAGCACACTGAGCTTACTAGAGTTATTCGTAACTATTCATCTATTCTACTTCGTAAAGTATTGGGGTGGCAACCTGAAATAGATGGCCTTTCCTTCCACGTTCTTGAACTAACTCAGCTAGTGGGGAAGAATTGGAGAGTTTTATGTCAGATGATCAAACTGGAAATTGATTTTTGTCACTGTTAAATGCCTTAAAGGCACTTAACAGACCCTGTCTGGTATTGGAAGCTAAGCAAGGTCAGTCCAGGTTAGTACTTATTAGGAGACTGCCAATTAATACTAGGCACTCTAGGTTATATTTCAGAGAAAGGAACTTGTAAAACCATCTGAGTATTCTTTACTTTTAAAAAAACCCTATGAGATTCATGGAGTTGTCATACGTTGAGAGGCAACTTGAGGGTACATACACAAAAACACACATGGTGTAATATCTCACATTTAAAGGGCTGACACATTTTGCTTCCTATGACTTATAAAAAAAACTGTAAATAAAATTCTTAATATTATTACAGGTCAATCTGAATACCAGATAACATTTCCCTTTTCAGAAGGAGGGTTGCATCTCTGTCCATGTAAATTTTCACACATCTTGAGATACCTTTGTGTTCAAGATGGCCAAACTCAGGGTGCATCTAAACTGTAGAATGATACAGCTTGACTCCACTTGAACTGCCATGGATCTATTCTATGGAATCATGGATGTTGTAGTTTGGGGAGGCACCAGCACTCTCTGAGAGAGAAGACTAAAGACCTTGTAAAACTGCAGCATTGAGCTGTGGCAGTTAAAGTTGTGTGAAACTGCATTAATTTTATGGTGCAGATAGACCTTCAGATTCTGTGTAGTATGTTTTATTTCTTAGAACTGGCTTTGTCATCATGCCCATTAAACCTTTCGCTTCACTGTTACCTGCTTATTTGTTTGGTTTTGACATAACAGCTATCCTACTAAAGACTGTAACAAAGGTTGGGGATGTACCATATATCATAACCATCTCACATCCATATGTAGCAGAAATGGAGAACTTGTGGATCTCCAGATGTTGGTGGACAGAAAATTATCTGGGGCCAAGCCATCATAGCCAATTGTAAGAGATAATGGAATTACAGTTGGATATTGTCTAGAAGGTGATAGACATCTGTTTCAACCTCATGCCCCGTTAACATCAGGAAGGACACAGGAAATGTGTCTGTGAAGTTAGTGGCTGGTCCCAGGATGTGAAACTCCCTTCCATGGGAAGTCTGGTTGGTCCTCCTCTCTGTCTGCTGGCAGACAAAGGACTTTATATTTAGACGAATAACAGTTTACATATCTGTAGTGTGTGTAAAGTGGTATGGTGCATTTTATTTTTTATGTTTATCAATAATTATGTTTCAAATTCTTTTACGTTATTTTAACCATGGTTTTAAAATAATACTGTTACTTAACTTCTGAATTTTTTAAAAATATAATCTTGTTCACTCCCATTTCAGGACAAAACTGGGGTAGAAATGCAATAATAAGCACACAAATAATTACCATGATCTAAATTGAAGTCAGAGTTAGATATATTCATAGTTCTTAATAATTTTAATTCACTTCTTGACTTTATGCTAGTTATTATTCTTTCAATTTTGATGTTCTTTGAATGTGTTAGTTGTACTTCATCTAGTCATTATGCAGTGGTGTTGGCCAATCTTGAGAGTATTATCTAAGCATCTCTGATATATAGTAATTTACATGTATAGTTTCTTTTGTAACATGCCGGATAATTTTCTTCCACTTAACTTGCATTTTTCTCCTAGCTCTACTTTTTCTTATGATCACTCTTTTGCACATATCGTGCAGCCCCAAGAAACTTTAGGATACAGGGGCCACATTGCATTTTTAAAAATTACAGAGGGGCTGGGAACCCCTCTCGAGAAGCACAAGGAAGCAGGCCTCTCTTGCCCCACAAAAAGGGGATCCTGCCCTACAAAAAGGTCCCTCTCCAGAGAAAATAGAGGAACAGGCTCACCTCAACCCCTCAAAGATAGGGAAGCAGGTCTCTCGCTCCATGGAAAGGGGAACCCTGTCCTGCAAAAAGGGGCCTTCCTGCCATCGGCATATCCTGTGGGGCCTCCCCACTGCTGTTGATGCATCCTATGGGGCCTTCCCGCTGCTGTTGGTGCATCCTATGGGGCTTTCCCACTGCTGTCGGCACGGCCTACAGCACAGCCTATGGAGCCTTGCAGCAGGGCTCCACAGGCTGCATGCTTCCTAGGCAGGGGGGAGTTCGGGTCCTACGGGTCCCCCATGGAGCCTCTGACTGTGCTTCATGGAGTCCTAAGGGCGCCATGGAGCACACTTAGAATCGCTGGAATAGATATACAGTTTACTTCTTCCCATTCTAAGCATGTTGTTGTATGGCAGGAAAACCTTTCAGTTGCACCATGATCCGAAACAGAGGGGTGTTCTCCCATCAGCTGGAAATGCAGAAAAACATTGTCCATTATATTTATCAGAACATGCTGGGAAGCACTATCAGGGCACAGCTGAAAAAGGTGAGAATTTCTGCTTGTTAACTGTCTGAATACCTGAGTACCTACAGTTGCCGTTCATGTCTAAAGTGATCATTTTCAAAGCTGTAGGTATGTTAGTTAATTCATGTATGAAAGCAATACATTTGTTTACCAAAAGTCAGTTTTCCTGGGTTTAAAACTCTCACTGAGAAGATGTATGTAATGTACTTTTGTGAGCTATGCAAAGTGATGGAGTGAAAAATAAATCAGAACCACTGTTTCATAAAATTCATTAATTCCAAGAACAGGATGCCATATTGCCACAAAAATTGAGCAAAGAAGTTCAAGTGATTTGTCAGACAGTAACATTGCAACTAGAGTTGCCCAAGTGACCTCTGTTGGAAGTAAATAAATAGACATCTACATGCTAAAATAAATGTGTTAACAATTTTCAGTTCGTTTTCTCCTTAAATTTAAGGTGACCATATAAGAGGCACATGCTGTTGTACATATTGAGAGACAAATATTCTGATAAAAACAATTTCTTCATAAAACTTTGCATTTATTCTTTATTTTTTCAGTCAAATACAGGCAGCCCCCAACTTAGGAACAAGATAGGTTCTATAGGTTTGTTCTTAAGTTGAGTTTGTTTGTAAGTCAGAACAGGTACATTTTAAAAGGGTAACATCTATTTATCTATATGCTTTATATAGCATAGGGAAGGGTTAACTCCCCTGTGGTGTCTGTGCCTCTGTTCAGAAGATTTCACTGGACTTTCTGTCCCTGTGATAATTGGATTTGGAAACAAAGGTTGGTGATAATGCTTCAGTGGAGACACCTTTTCTCTATGATAACTCTTTCAGGAGTAAATTTCTCTTTCTAGAGGTAGATTTCTCTCACTTTTTGTTGCCTCACCCCTGTTCTTAACTATAATTCATTTGTAAGTTGGATGTTTGTAAGTTGGGGACTGCCTGTATTTCTGTTCGGTAGAATTTGTTAACATTTAAAATGCCATGCAGTCAATGTAAGACAAATAAATATGCAAAATCCGATCACGCTCTAATTAGTGCACTGAATTTCTCTTCCATAAAACGTTCAAACATTTTCTGGAAGTCCCATATCACTTGCTGTGCAGCCTTATTTTTCTGAATTTCCATATGTCATTCATATATGTGTGTGTGTGTGTGTGTGTGTATCAGTTGTTAGGTTGTTATTATCCTTGGGCCTACAATTTAAAAGACATGACAGATCAGGATAAAAGAGTCAGGAAGGAGGGGAAAATAAGCAAGCTCAGGTGAGCTTTCTAAAAAGCTATAGCTCCTGTTACAATGAGCTGTTTTAAAACATTTCAGGTAGGCTGATGGAATGACTACTGCCAGCTGGCATATTGTGAAAGCAGAAGGCAGCTTATTTCAAACCCCTGTTTATTTTCTGCTCTTCTGCTTTGCGGCCTAATGGAATGGGACACAAACCACAGGGTCTGTCTGAATTTATATGGTATTTAGAAGAATATTTGAGCACAGTAAGTGGAAATGATTGAGCACCAAATTTAAACCATCAGCCATGGTCTTCATGTGCCAGCTCCATTGTTCGCTGTTGGGGAGTTAGTTTCATTGTATAGTAAGTGTCAGTAAGAGTTACCATATAAGTTTAAAGTAGAGGAAATTTAAGAAGCAGCATTTTTAAGAAGTATAAATCAAGAAGTAGTAAATTTATATTAAGAAATAGGGCAGTTTACCAAGGTATCAATCTGTGCCTGGTTTTGCATTGTGCACCAAAGAAGTACATACATGTGAATTGCACAACTTAGATTTCAGTCTTTTATTATTTTTCCCCACAGTGCCTTCAGGTGCCTTTTGTGCGTTCTCTCCATTCATACCGCCTGTTTCGATCAGCAAGTCCTTTCAGTAGAAGAATTACATGTTTGGAATGGCATCCAACGCACCCCAGCACAGTTGTTGTGGGCTCCAAAGGCGGAGACATCATCCTGTGGGACTATGAAGTGCTTAATAAAACCTGCTTCATAGAAGGAGTAAGTCATTATGGAAGACAAGTGTAGGATCAGCCTATACTGAGGCAATCTATCATTCTCATCAGTGGATTAACTGTGTAAACTACAAGTTAGAATTCAATTGCCAATGTGTTTGTTTTGTGGTTTCCTGATTTTCTGTGCAAATGAAATAATAAGTGAGGCAAGGATGTGCTTAGATGGATAACTGTTATTTCTACTTGGAAAACCTGAAATATAAGTCTACAGGGGGCATTTTAGAATTAACTTTTCATGTTACCTTCATGTTTTCTCAAATTAGAAACATTTTATTGAAAGGGAGAAAGTTATTTTAATTGAAATGATATGTGTTGTTGGCCATGTAATTGTGTTTCTTGATAGACTTTTATGATATTACATTTGTGTTGCACTGTGGACAGAGACCCATATTTTTCTAGAGCCTGGATTAATAAGTAGAAAAAGAGTACTTTCCTCATGCATCCCTAACCACCTCTGTGAATATTACGTTGCTGTTTGGATTTTTCTGTCTGTTTGTGTTGACACAAAGAATATTATGATTTTGGCCTAGACATTTGTGCTTAGAACTCAAAAAGCATGAGGCTAATACATCAGAAAAAGGATAAGAAATTTGCATTCCCATTTTATCCAAAAGAATAGAAAAAAGGGAGAGGGAGACATTAACACACATGAAAATTAAGTGATATTTACAGCAAGCATTAATGCAGCTCCGATATTGTGCACATCTTGCACCCTTACTTGCTTCCAGCCTTTGTTGCACTCCAGGCCAGGAAAGCCCTCTGACTTTAAACACCACACAGCTGAGTAAAAATGCAAGCAATTTATTGAAGATAATAAAAGCAGTAGCAGTAAAAAACACTCCATAAAAATAGGTAAATCTAATTAGGTAAAAAGATAAGCAGAAACAAATAGTCCAGGAAATTAGTCCATCAGAGTTCATGAAAACCAAATACAGAAACTTCCAAGGTAAAACTCCAAAACTAGAATCATGAAATCAAACAAGGCACTTAACACATGAATCTATCCAAGGCAAGGCTTTGAAGGACCAGGGAAGACGTCTTGACTCAATTTCAACGTTGGTTCGTCTGACTATAGATTCTGTACTTGGCACTTTTATCCCCTAATCAATTCTATGTCCCAAGCGGCCAGGAATGGATTTCGTTTCAGCTTTGACTCTGCTATCAATCTCTCTCTCAGTCTGGCAGAATGTCTGAGAGATTGGCTTGCTTGCCTGTGCTGACTGAAAATAAGCCTTCTATCCACTGGCTCATTGCTTTCTGCAGCTGGGCCAGGTGCCGGGCTTTTCTCAGGCTCAAAGTCCTGGGAATTCTCTGGTAGCAATTCATGCCCTCTTCTACGGACCATACCATCATCCACAACCCTTCAGGAACATTCTCATCAGAAAAGACACTTTGAACAGGGATCCCATTGTCATTCTCTGCATATAGGGCAACCTCACCATTAGAAACATCATTGTCATTGCCAACCTCATCATTAGAAACATCAGTGTCATTCACGACATCCAGAGTACCCTGATCATTAGACACAATCACAGGCTGAACTCCAACGGCCTTATCCTTTATCATCATGATCTATTTTTCTATTTCCATGTGCAAACCAAATTCATATGAATAACTTACAAAAGTCCAATAATAATAATAATACTCCTGGCACAATACTCCTGACCTCACAATCGTGTTAAAAAACAAAGTATGGATTGTCAGTCCCAGGTGGCAGCAGGATTGAAGAGAAACAACTGGAAAAGCTGACATGATATGAGAATTTAAAGATCAAACTGCAAAGACTCTGGCACAATCCTGTCAAGGTGGTCCCAGTGGTGATCGGCACACAGGGTGCAGTGCCTAAAGACCTTGGCCTACACTTAAACACAATCGGCACTGACAAAATTACCATCTGCTGGCTGCAGAAGGCCACCTTACTGTGATCTGCACGCATTATTTGCTGATACATCGCACAGTCCTAGACACTTGGGAAGTGTCCAACATGTGATCCAATACAACAGCCAGCAGAGTGATCTTGTCTGCTGTGGACTCATCTTGTTGTGTTTCAAATAATAATCATCATCATCATCATTTATATTCCACCACCATCTCCCAAAAGGGAGTTGGGGAGGCTTACAAGGCACTACAAATGTAGTATATAACATAAATGGTGCATGAGTATCAAAACCATATCATATAAAGTTATAAAGACAACCACTATTAACACATCAAATGAAATAAAAACACAGTTTAAAACACAGACCATCTGTAGTTAAAACTAGCTGCCTTCAAATCACAACTAAAGTCATTATCTACCAAGCCCTATAAAGTGTCAATCTCATACGGGCCAATTTCAGCCTACTCAAGGCCAAAAGCCTGCTTAAAAATCCATGTTTTTAGGCTGGATCGGAAGGAGTCAAGAATGGGGGCTAACCTAAACTCTTTTGGGAGGATATTCCAGAGCTGGGGAGCCACTACAGAGAAGGCCCTCTCTCTTGTTCCCACCAACCACACATGAGATGGTGGTGGAACTGAGAGAAGTGCCTCCCCTGCTGATCTCAAAGCCCACACTGGTTCATAGAAAGAGATGCACTCTTGAAGATAGGGCGTATAGGGTTTTGTAGGTAATAACAATTCTAAGAATCTGTTATCAAAATGGTTGGTATCCTTAGGCATATTCATTTGATAGCCTACCAGTTACCAAGTGTTTGACAACTGTTCCCAAGGCAACTCATGCCTGTAAGGGAAATGAGCAAGTGAATTTCAAAAATCCATAATGATGTCCATCCTGATAAGAATACTGTGTGAGGGAATGCTACATGATCACATTGCACCATAGCAGTTACTTAGCAGGAATGGTATTGTCTGCAGGGGCTGGGACATTCTCCTTTTCATGGTACTTGCTCAGTCTAGCTCAGGGGTCCTCAAACTTTTTAAACAGAGGGCAAGGTTACAATCCCTCAAACTGTTGGAGGGCCGGATTATAATTTGAAAAAAGCATTAATGAATTCCTATGCACACTGCACATATCTTATTTGTAGTGCAAAAAACACTTTAAAACAATAAAATAATTAAAATGAAGAACGATTTTAACAAATATCAACGTATTCGTATTTCAATGGGAAGTGTGGGCCTGCTTTTGGCTGATGAGATAGGATTGTTGTTGTTGTACACTTTCAAGTCGTTTCAGACTTAGGTTGACCCTGAGCGAGGGCCAGGTCAATGACTTTGGAGGGCCGTATCCAGCCCTCTGGCCTTAGTTTGAGGACTTCTGGTCTAGCTGATGTGTCATAATGATCATTTTTGCCTTTTGGGAAGTTTAGTAGTACAAATTGATGAAAGAATAAGAGGGACTGTCCTCTTTCCATATCTCTGAGTGGTATTCTGTTTTATTCATCCCCCTTCATTGTAGATGGGAGCTGGAGGGGCCATCACAGGAATGAAGTTTAACCCTTTTAATCCTAGTGAGCTGTACACATCATCAGTTGCTGGAACTACTGCCCTCCAAGATTTTAATGGAAATACAGTCCGAATCTTCACCCATACCAACGACTGGGAGTAAGATTACAATAAATTCTTTCCACTTTTAACTCCTTCTGGTAATTAGAAGGTAACACAAGTGGTGTAGATTTGGGGCTAGATTTTTAAGTCCCCCTCCCCTTTATTTCTGCTGTCCTACTCAGAACTTGGATGATTTGTTGTTCCTGAACCATTAATTTTGTTTCAGTATGATCGTCCTTTTATATACTTGATACGATAAGTAGCCTTCTTCACCACTGAGAAGAGCACAATTGTTATCGGATTTCAGTGGCAACCTTACAACTGAGGGCAAATTCAGTGCTGGCAGCATATCTTGGATATATGTGTCAAATTTTGCTTCCTCTGCCCTGAGAAATTTCCCATCCCCGTTTTAGTCACAGAAATTAGACTTTTAAAACAGATTATGTAGTTTAAAAAACAAGGTAGAAAAGCAATTTCCAACTTAAACCAAGTTGAGAAACACACTATCTAATCTTAAAACAACAGAATGCTGTACACTACAAAAACCTTATTAAGACAAAATGGCCAACAAATTAATTTGCTTATTCCTGAACACATCAGACAGAACAATTGGCACCTGCAACAAAATATTACAATGTTCTGTTCAGTATTCCAGCAGTTACGCATCTTTGAAGTTACAAGGTTCCATTTCCTCTCATCGTTTCCATCTTTTTTCCTCCATGACAGACATCATTCTCTACTCACTCAGTATGACCACTTTCCATTGGGCTGTATCTTTTGTTTGCTTGGTTGACTGGCTTAGCCCTTTTGGAAACACTTTTTTCTAAACAGTTTTGTGATTCTACAAAATATTAGGTTCCCTTGGGCTTTTTGTATGTGGATAATGCTTTGGTAAGTAACAACTGGCATTTGAACTGAGTTCAGTAATATAGTATGACTATGATTCATTTTCCTTTATGCTATGTGAGACCCAATAGCAACTTCTCTCTAAAAATAACTAAACAAACAAACCCCATTAGTGTTGCTCATAAGTAATATTGAGAGCCAGCATGGTGAAGTGATTAGAACATAGGATTGTGACTGGAAACTAGGCTTTGAATCCCTCTTCAGTCATCACCCACTGGGTTACCTTGGGCAAGTCACACTCTCTCAGCCTCAGTGGAAAGCAAAAGCACCCTCCTTCCAAACAAATTTTGCCCCAAATCCATTTTAGGTTCACTGTAAGTCAGAAATGACTTGAAGCACCCAACAAGAAATATTGGAAACTAATAGATACCCCTCCATTTGAAGAAAACTTTCTGGGAAGATGTTTGGAACGGTGAATGTAGAGGCTCTGTAAGCTTCAGCATGGAATGCTTCTTATCTCATTCTTATTTTCTTAGACCTGGAGGTAGGCCATTCTATGGCTGAGAGATCACATCCTGCAGTCCAAACAAAAGGAAGCCCATACAGCTGGAAAAAAACCACAATAATATGTAGCAAATAAATTGACTTGATCCTAGAGTATATTCACATTTTCTATAAATAATTATGGATATTTATCTTGAGGAAAGATGGAAAATGATCTTCAACCCTTTTTAAATCCATGATTGTAAAACCCTTTTCAACCCTTGCCGACTTTTGAAACATAAAAATTACATTTCCCTTTCAATCTCAAAATAACATGACTAAAACCAAATAAAGACACTTGTAAATTTAGGATAAAATGTGGGTGATAGATACATTTTGTGTCAAGCAAAAAGCACAAATTATGACATTATGCAACATCCAGTAAATTACACTGTATTCTGATTATAAAAGGACGAGAAAAGATAGTAGGGATGTTACTGCATGGCACAGGATAATAATAATAATAATAATAATAATAATAATAATAATAATAATATTCTTTATTTATACTCCGCTACCATCTCCCCAAGGGACTCGGTGCGGCTTACATGAGGCCAAGCCCACAATACATCAAAAAAGCAATAACAACAATACAAAACAGTTAAAATAAATTTCATAGACAAAATAAACAAAAAACATTGACAATAGCACATTTAAAAACCTATTGCTGGGACAAATGTAATTTAAAATTTTAAAAATAATGCTGGGCATGAACAAGGTAGGAGAGGTGGGGGCGTACAAGCAATCCTAAGTCAATGTAAAGTGCATTTAGAGGACATATTGCTGAGAGTTTCATTATTCTGGGAAGGTACACTGGAACAACCACGTTTTCAAGCTCCTCCTAAAGACTGCCAGAGTTAGGGCATGCCTAATGTCCCTGGGAAGTGAGTTCCAGAGTCGAGGGGCCACCACCGAGAAGGCCCTCTCCCTCGTCCCCACCAATCGTGCCTGCGATGGAGGTGGGAACGTGAGCAGGGCCTCTCCAGATGATCGAAGAGATTGTGTGGGTTCGTATACAGAAATGCGGTCACGCAGGTAGGCTGGTCCCAAACCGTTCAGGGCTTTGTAGGTAAGAACCTGCACCTTGAATTGGGACCAGAAAATGAACGGCAGCCAGTGGAGCTCCTTAAACAGGAGGGTTGACCGCTCCCTGTAAGAAGCACCGGTTATTAATCTGGCTGCCACTCATTGTACCAATTGAAATTTCCGGGCCGTTTTCAAGGGCAGCCCCACGTAGAGCACATTACAGTAATCCAATCTGGAGGTGACTAAGGCATGGACCACCCCGGCCAGATCTGACTTCACGAGGTACAGTCGCAGCTGGCGCACGAGTCTTAATTGTGCGAAGGCCCTCCTGGCCACCGCCGATGCCTGAGCATCAAGCGTAAGTGATGAGTCCAGGAGGACACCCAGACTGCGGACCTGTGACTTCAGGGGGAGTGCAACCCCGTCCAACACAGGTTGTCACCCTATACCCCGATCTGGTTTGCAATCGACCAGGAGGACCTCTGTCTTGTCGGGATTGATCTTCAGCTTGTTTCTCCTCATTCAGACAGCCACAGCGGCCAGGCACTCGTCCAGCACCTGAGGGGTTTCCTTGGAGTTAGGTGGAAAAGAGTAGTAGAGTTGCATGTCATCTGCATAGAGATGGCACCCAACTCCAAAACTCCGGATGACCTCTCCCAGCGATTTCATGTAGATGTTAAAAAGCACGGGAGACAGAATGGAACCTTGCGGGACCCCACAGGTCAAGGGCCAGGGGTCCGAGCAGGTGTCTCCCAGCTTCACCATCTGGGAATGACCCTCCAGGAAGGATTAGAACCATGACAAAGCCGTGCCTCCAAGGCTCATCCCAGAGAGCCGTCCCAGAAAGATACCATGATTGATGGTATCGAAAGCCGCTGAAATGTCCAAGAGAACCAACAGGGCCACACTCCCCCTGTCCAGCTCCCTGCAGAGGTCATCCACCAAGGCGACCAAAGCCATCTCGGTGCCATGACCAGGTCTGAAGCCAGACTGTGACTGGTCCAGATAGTTGATGTCATCCAGGAAACCCTGGAGCTGAGAGGCGACCACTCGCTCCAGTACCTTACCCAAGAAGGGGAGGTTGGAGATTGGTCTGTAATTGCTCAAGACCGTGGAATCAAGGGAGGTCTTTTTCAGGAGTGGTCTGACCACAGCCTGTTTCAGTCCAGATGGAAAAATCCCTTGTTCCAATGATGCATTAATGATCAATACAAACCAATAAAGTACCTACTTTAAAAAAGACAAAAGATACAGTTGTGTCCTTCCCATTTTCCAAATCATAAATTAATGAAAATGCCTCTGTTGAAACATCCCACTGTTCAAGAATCTCTGCCATATTTTGTCATCGGACTTCTTCTGTTTTGTTGTTTATTTATTTAATTAATTTTGTTGTGTGTTGAAAATTGGCACTGAAATTGTACGAGGGTTATCCAGAAAGTAAGGGTACAAGGCACGTTGTTTTTGTGGGGAATTTTCTCAGGGGAAGTTGGTATCACTGCTGTGTAGCAGGAAACCAGCAGAAGTGAATGAGCAGTGCTAGCTGTCAGTTGCTCATCAAGTGGCGTTGTAGTGATGTTTACAAATGAGTATCCTCATTCTATTTCCCCCCAAGTGCAAAGATTGTGCTGTAATACGCTATCTAAATGCTAAGGGCATGAATACCGCTGTGATTCATCATGATAAAAATTGTGGTGCCAATGTTTTGGGACAGAAAAGGGGTTCTGCTTGTTGATTTTTTGGAAAGAGGTGAAACAATCAGTGCTGTAAGATATTGTGAGAACACAAGAAACTTTGCAGAGCCATCCAGAACAAACATTGTGGGATGCTGACAGCGGGAGTCTGTCTCCTTCATGACAGTGCATGTCTACACCGCTCAAGAGTTGTTACTTTATTTAGTTGGGATGTTTTAAGCCACCCCTCTCACAGCCTCAGTCTCGCACCCAGTGACTATCATCTGTTCACTAAATTGAAGAAACACCTGGGTGGAAAACATTTTTTCGAGGAGGAGGTAAAAATCGAAGTGACGAACTGGATGAAAAAGGCAGCATGAGACTTCTATGACACAGGCACCAAGACAAAATGTATTGAGCTGGATGGTGATTATGTGGAAAAATAATGTAATACCTATGCTATAATCCATGTAAGTTTTATTAAAATATATTAATTCTTTGTATTTTTAAAAAATCTTGTAACCTTATGTTTCTGTTTAAAACAGTACTTTAATTCTGAATAGAACAAACATCTGAAAAAAAAATAAGTAGCTAGGATAGAGCCAGTTTCAAATGTTGTGACTTATTACGTGAAATCCTGTAGAGCACCTTTCCTTAAATCTATGGATCAACACCCATCCGTACCAGTTAGTGATAAAAAAAATCCTGGGGTGATGTACTTCTTTAGAATGTCATGATCCCATTCACACTGCACAGTCATAGCACTATTTTTTTTTACTTTAATTGCTATGTCCATGTCCTGTGGAATCCTCTGAGATTGTAGACATTAGAGATCTCTGAATTCCAGATGCTTTTTCCCAAGTTGCATGTGGGATGGGAACCATGACAGTTAGAGTATAATCATATGGCTATTACTACATAACGTGAAAGGCCTCTCAATTTAGGAAGGCTGATCTAGCATCTCCATGTTCAGTGCATCCATGTTAGGATGTGCTGACTGCCTATTCCCATCTTTTCCCATTAACTTGGGTGTGTTCCTCTCCTGTTCCCATCTGTGTTTCAGAAAGGCCCAGGAGACTCTCTTGGAAGCATGAAATTCAGCCCGTTTGAGTTGGAAAAACTTTATGTGGCATCAGGGGATGGCACCCTTAGACTACATAACCTTGAGGGCCAAACTGCACATGTGATCTCTCGGACCCCAGCCTGTGACCATGAATTTCATGATGTTTGGTGAGAAAGGGGGGCTATGGGTTAGCTCATAAATTACGACTAGAAGAGGACATACACTTGAAATTTGCTGGTGTTGTTTTCATGGATGTGCAGGAGGTATTGTTTCCATTTGACAATCTGATCTACTTGAGTGGTGCGGGGAGGAGAGTGTGCACTTTATATGATACTACTGATTTGTAGGGAGGTAAAACAGTTTCAATAAAATTGTAGTGTTTTACTGCTGAAAACGCATATAGTATGGATAAAAGAGAGAATAAGCCAGCTTCTGGAATTTGTCCCTGCCTAGTGCCCTGTATTGAATGGAAGTCATTGACTAAAGGTCAAGTCACACGATTAATAACAGATGTTTTGAAGGTTCAAGAAACATGACAGCTTTTGAAAGGGAATTGTTATACACAAGTTGGACCTCATGCTCTGGAGCTATTATTGGCTTGTTACCAATGCTTGCGTTTCGACTTGCTTTTGTTTGTTTTGTGTGTTTTTAAAGAATGCTAATCTGGTCTCGTGTGTTCCAGCACTTTAAAATGTGACTGTTTCCTGGGATCAGTATTGACAACACAGTTATTTTAAAACATGAATGCTTTTTGAATTCAAATGATGAGTATAGGGATAAACAATTGGCCTCTTGATTTCAACTAGGATTCTCGCATATTTATTTTATTACACTACTTGGTAAATAACCCCAAGCAGATATCGCATTGGAGCAATTTCTTGGACTCAGTTCAGTTAGGATTCCATTCCTTCTTTTAATTCTAGATTGACATTGTTTGCTTTTACGCTTTTGTAGGGCCTGTGAACACCCTTATATTATTTGTTGCAAAAATGACAGTTCTGAATTTGTACTTATTTTTTTTTTAGTTTCTGGTACTGCAGTGTTGATGTATCTGCAACATGCCGGACTCTGGTGACGGGTGATAATGTGGGCAATGTCATCCTGCTCAGTACCGATGGTGAAAAGGTTTGTTGGCCCATCCTCTTTGTCCAACAGGCTTTTTTGACAAGACATTTTTAAATTGGCCTAAATTATTCAGAGAGTGAAGCCTCAGAATTTTCCGAAACTGGTTTACAGTCTTAGAAGCAGATTCCAAAGAACACTCATTCAGTGAATAGTTTGAGAATCCTTGGTTCAAAATATTTGAAGTTTGATTCTAAACAGGGTATGTACAAGTCACAGGCAATGTACCAATGATTTTATATAATGTGATATTCTCTATAAATTTGTTGTCCTTTTTATGATTTTATATAATCCCCTGAAAAAGACCTTAAAATTACAACCAGGCCAAAATATGTCACTTTTCCATTTATAAAACAGCCATATTTTGAGCATTTTAAGACATGTCTTTTTCTTCTGTGTATTTCATTGGATGTTCTCCAGTTTCTGCTTTTTTTCCCTACAGTGCTCTTAGAATAGTTTGCATTCACAAACACCATTCATGTGATGATGCAGCAATATAGAAACTCTTGTCTAGCTGATTTGGTCCCACTATTTTCTGATAGCCGAGAACTCACTCCAGTTGTGTAATTACTTTATCAAATGTTCTTTCTTTAGCATGAGGTTGGGCCATGGTTAATAATTCTTTGTGCCAGTACAACTCGCTCAGTTTAACTCTTCGGTAAAGTTTTTGGTGTTGACTGAGCATGTACTTTCCTTTATGCCTTCTTTTAAAAGATGGCATCATCTCTCAGAAAAGGCATGTACCAATGTCTAATGCTTGTAGACCAGAATTTCTTGCTCTGTTAAAGGCCATGTCTTTTATCTTCTATTGATCCACCAAAGATATGGGATCTGAAACTGCACAAAAAGAAAGTGACTCATGTGGAGTTTAATTCTCGCTGTGATTGGCTCCTGGCTACAGCCTCAGTAGACCAGACAGTTAAAATATGGGATCTAAGAAACATAAAGGACAAATCAAGTTGTCTTCACGTACTTCCACATGACAAAGCAGTCAATTCAGGTAAGACAGAAAAGCGAGCACTCTCTTTTGTTGGCAACTTACCCTCCTATTCATTCTGAACCCTTAAAGTGCACCTTTAATGTGGAGTTCAATCCCCTTTATTATCTTTTCATCCATCTACTATGTCAGCTGTCTTATAACTGTTTCTGTAGCTCTCAGTTGGTCTAACTAACTCACAGAGTTGTTTGAATAAAATAAATTAAGGACACATTGCAAGTTGTGTAAAATTGGTATCAACTGAGAAGAAGGTTGGAAGAAAATAAAGAACATTTCTATATGTACTGTTTTTGTTAGGTGTGCACAAAGGAAAAAAAAACCAATATTCAAATGAGCCTTCGGGCTTGCTCAATTTTAAATCTAAGTTTTTATGTCGATGTTCACCCTTCAGAATTAGAAATCTAGAGTAACTGATGTATGGCAATGATGTATGACAATGTATTATGTTTGTGCACAATGGGATTATTCATAACTGAAATGTCTAGGAAACAATATAATAAATGTAATCAGTACTTTGAAATTTTGCTTGTTTCTTTTTAGTTGTGCATACTACTGTAATTCTACATAAATAAATATTATTGTAAGCATTTTTTCTCTTGTCCTCAGCATATTTCAGCCCAACTGATGGTGCAAAGCTTCTGACTACTGACCAGCACAGTGAAATCCGGGTTTATTCATCTTCTGATTGGTCCAAACCACAGCATTTGATTTCACATCCCCATCGCCAGTTCCAGCACCTTACACCTATCAAGGTGAAGAAATAGAAAAAGTAACAAGTGGCACTGCCCACATGATGGTAACTGTGAGTTATTGAGAGAAAGATCCCACAACTCTTGCAACATCACATGAATAGGGGCCTGATTTTGAGATAAGGACATGTACATATACAGATTAAATGTCACAATATGGATGGGTTTATTTTCTCATTTTTCTTATGAATCTGTAATAATAGAACTTGGATTAGGCTCATATATAAAGAAAATGTGTTGTGGACAAGAACTGGAGGCAGGCTTAAGCAAAAGGAATCATTTGATAAGAGGCACTAAATTGTAGTAAGAATGAATAAAGCACTAATTGATATGTTGGTTTGTTTACAAGTATCACATAAGCAATAAAAATTCATTTTCTACCTTTTATGCTTTTAAAAGTGTAGAGTTTGATCTCATTGAAGGTTTAGAAATGTAACTTGGCTAGATAAGATTCTAGCTTCAGAGAGTACATTCTTGTTGTAGTCCTTTGATATATTTCAAATTCAGCAGTAGTTTTTCTTAATCACTTCTTTTACATTTTAGGCAACATGGCATCCTCGTTATGATCTCATTGTGGCTGGTCGTTACCCAGACCCTCTTTTCCCAGGATACACAGCAGATGAGCTGAGAACTATTGACATATTTGATGGAAATAGTGGAGAGATGGTGTGCCAGCTCCATGATTCAAATGCTTTGGGCATTATCTCAGTAAGTGTAGAAGTTTTGATTCCAAGCAGCTGCTTTGCCCACCATTGCTTATGGGGTTTCTCAGCAGCTGAGCAACAAAAATAAGTTTGTGGCTTGCTGACATTGTGTCATTGACTATTTTGCCTGTGACAAAAATGTGTATATAATATTTCTAAGTTCACCCCTGTACCTGCTTTAGAGACCTGTCTGGACTTTTTCGGAACTTCAGAAATGATGAAATAGCTGTATACCGGCTCTCAAAATAGTTTTTCTTTATGTTTCCTAAGCACCATATGCTGTGTTATCTGAGGAGGTTCCCCAGTTAACTTTCTCTGGAAGGATTTTTATGCCCTTTTCTAATATCACTGTATTTGTTTATTATTTGAGTGGTATCCCATCCTTCCTCACTGGATCCACATCTGTGTCTCATGATATACAGCTGAGGAAAGGGCTTAGCATTCAAAGCTCTGCTGATTTGTGCAGAGCTTTTCTACATTCAATGCTAGGCCTTTCTCTGTCACTCCAGAATGTTCTGGTGTCTGATTTGACAAGGGAGCAGCTGACAAGGTTTAATACATTGTTGTGTTCACTTTTGCAGCTCAACAAGTTTAACCCTATGGGAGACACGCTGGTCTCTGGAATGGGTGAGTGACCAATTTGATCTTGAAGATTTGATAATAGTTGAGATAAAGTAAAGATAAAAGTAAAGATAAAAATAAAAAGGCACTGCGCAAAGAAGAATGAGCTGGAATTGTTTGTTCTACCCATAGCACATCGTAATATTGTGGACTTAACATATCTGTGGTGGTTTAGTTTCAAGGCCCTATATGGATATGAAAATATGTGAGTGGTGATGTGACATATTAAATGGCAGCAAAGTGAATGTGCATGCTTCAATGTTTCTATGTTCACATTGCTGCCATTTAACAATAAGGCAGTGGTTTTTAACCTGTGGGTCTCCATATGTTTTTGGCCTTCAACTCCCAGAAATCCTAACAGCTGGAAAACTGGCTGAGATTTCTGGGAATTGTAGGCCAAAACACCTGGGGACTCACAGGTTGAGAACCACTGCAATAAGGGGTGTAATGATTTATGGTTGATAGAAGTCACACATCTGGAGCTCACAGATCCAGAGGGCCAATTGTTTTAATATTAGCATATTATATGTAAAACATAAAATACTTTAACAATTTAAAACACTTTTAATACCATTTTCTTCAAAAATGTAAAGGCAGCTAACACCAAACAGTTTTGACAATAAAATAAGAGTAATGTTTTAATAGCACTAGGTGTGTTTACTTGATCACATTTCCAGGAAGGATTGGTGGGCAACCCATGCCTTTACTCCCATGGTCTCTTGCTTTGGTTCTTAACCTGAACTCAGATTTTGTATCCATCTCCTGTGGGGGTTTCCTGATAATTATCTACTTTGGCACTTGGTAGCCTTTTTTTGTCCACTTAAAAATAGAAGTCTTACAATAATCTGTCTGCCAAAGGAAAGAACTACTGCCATCTGTTGGGGTGTTTCTGCAGTAATACTGAAGAGGAAAGGGAAAAAATATAATTTGGTGTTTAACTAGAGCGGTAGGTGGGTTGTTCGTTTTTAGATTTTCAATATAAATTAGTATCCGAGACTACTGACATTTTAGTAGAACCAATATGATAGCAGTTCTGAGTATTCCTTATATTGTGCTAATGATTACAGCCAAACTGACATGTGTTTGCCAATTTCCACAGATGTGTGTGCTTCATAAGTTAGAAAGCCCTTTCACCCTTTCAAGAAATTAGCTCCAGGTGTGGTTAGTTAAAAATACCCTTCATCATTACAGGCATTAAAGTTACATATAAAGGACAATGTCCGGTATTTCTACCCCGTCATTTCTCTAACCCCGAGGGGGGGGGGGGGGGGCTCAGGATGGCTTACAATAGGCACCGATATGATGTCAATACATAACAATCACAATAATACAATCACAATTGAACATAAGTCATAGTTAAAATAGTACATAGCCATGATTAAAACAGTAAAAGCAATAAAAACAGTCTCATTAGCCATGTTGCCATTCCAGTCAATTTCCATCTAAAGTGCTACTTACAACTGCTGACCAAAAGCTTGATCCCAAAACCACGATTGTAACTTCTTCCTAAAAGCCAGGAGAGTAGAAGCCGATCTTATTTCATTTGGCAGTGTGTTCCATAGGCCGGGGGGGGGGGGGGCACAGCCAAGAAGGCCCTATCTCTCGTCCCCACCAGACGCATTTGTGATGTTGACGGGAGCGAGAGCAGGGCCTCCCCGGATGATCTTAGATTATGAGGTGGGACGTAGGGGTGGATGCGTTCAGACAAGTAAGCTGGGCCAGAACCGTATAGAGCTTTATAGGTCAAAACCAGCACTTTGAATTGGGCTCAGAGATGGACCGGCAGCCAGTGGGGGATGGTATGCTGCCTCTATGTCACCCCAGTTAGTAATCTGGCTGCCGTCTGTTGGACTAACTGAAGTTTCTGAACCATCTTCAAAGGCAGCCCCATGTAGAGTGCGTTGCAGTAATCTATTCGGGATGTAACGAGAGCATGGACGACCGTAGCCAGATCAGATTTCCCAAGGTACGGGTGCAGCTGGCGCACAAGTTTTAACTGTGCAAAAGCTCCCCTGGCCACCGCCGAAACCTGGGGTTCCAGGCTCCACGATTAATCCAGGATCACTCCCAGACTGAGAACCTGCGTCTTCAGGAGGAGTGTAACCCCATCCAGCACAGGCTGTAACCCTGTGCCCTGGTCGGTCTTTCATCTAGGAGGACCTCTGTCTTGTCTGGATTCAGTTTCAATTTGTTAGCCCTCATCCAGTCCGACACAGTGGCCAAGCACTGGTTCAAGCTCTGAACAGCCTCCTTAGTGACAGGTGGGAAGGAGTGACAGATTTGGACGTCATCTGCGTACCTTACTCCGAAACTCTGGATGATCTCCCCCAGCAGCTTCATGTAGATGTTAAATAACATCAGGGACAGTACTGAACCCTGAGGGACTCCACAAGACAATGGTTGCAGAGTCGAACAGGTGTCACCGAGTAACACCTTCTGGGACCAACCCTCCAGGAAGAAGTGGAGCCACTGCAGAGCAGTACCTCCAAGTTCCATTTCTGCGAGGCGTCCCAGAAGGATACCGTGGTCAAAGGTATCGAAGGCCGCTAAGAGGTCCAGCAGAATCAACAGGGACACACTCTCCCTGTCTAGCTCCTGGCGTAGATCATCTACTAAGGCGACCAAGGTTGTTGCACTGCCATGTCCCGGCCTAAAGCCAGACTGTGCCAGATTTAGATAATCAGTGTCTACCAAGAACCCTTGGAGTTGCGAAGCCACCACACATTCCATGACTTTGCCCAAGTAGGGAAGATTCAAAACTGACCGATAGTTGACTAATTGAGTGGGGTCCAGTGATGGTTTTTCAACAGCGGTTTTATAACAGCCTGTTTTAGGCTGGCAGGAATCTTGCCTTCCTGTAAGCATTAACCACCACCTTAACCCACTCTGCCAAACCCCCTGTGGCTTCTTTTATCAGCCAGGATGGGCAGGTGTCTAGGATGCATGTAGTAGGCCTCGCCTCTCCAAGGATCTTGTCCACATCCTCAAGCTTAACCAATTGAAATGAATCCATTAAAACCAGACAAGCAGATGCTCGTGTTACATCCTCAGAGACTGCTATTAACATGACGTCAAAGTCGGAATGGATCAGTGCAACTTTGTCCGCAAAGAAATGAGCAAATGCTTCACAGCGATCTGCCGAGTTGTCAGGGATTTCGCTCTGAGGTGGATTTAATAGTCCTCTGACAACTCGGAACAGCTCAGCTGGACGGTTCTTAGCGGACGCAATATTGGCCGCAAGAGATGGGGTTTTTTTGCAGCTTTTATTGCTGCATCATAGATCCTTAAAAAGGAAACTAGACGTGCTAGGACTGACCTGCTGCGCTTCTGTTGCCACACACATTCTAGCCACCTATTCTTTCACTTCATCGCTGCCAGCTCCTCAGTGAACCAAGGAGATGGTTTAGCTCGATTACTCGAGAGGGGGCGTTCTGGGATGATCGTGTCTATAGCCCTGGTCATTTCTCTGTCCCAGAGAGAGACAAGGAGCCTTGACAGGGTCACTTACCTAGGAGGTGGGAAAATCTCCAAGAGCCGTCAGGAAACCATTTGGATCCATATGTATCTGAATGCACCTCTTCCTATGAACCCACCAGGAACTTGAGATCCTCGGAGGAGGCCCTGCTCTCCATCCCGCCTGCTTCGCAAGCACGTTTGGCGGGGACGAGAGACAGGCCTTCTCTGTGGTGGCCCCTCGGCTGTGGAACTCCCTGCCTAGGTATATTAGATCAGCCCCTCCCTCCTGACCTTTTGAAAAAGAGGGAAAACTTGGCTCTTTGAGCGCACTTCAGAACCTCAGCATAAACAGACAAACATGAATCGGAAAATGACCTAGGAACGGCCAAGATGATGGAACAGATGAGGATTTAAACGAGAGGATATAGTTTTAAAATTTTTTATTGTTCATTGTTTTTATGATTTTAAATGTATTGTAATGTTTCTTTTTTGCTTTTTATCAATGTATGTATTTTATATATGGCATCGAATTGTGTCGACTTCGTACGCCGCTCTGAGTAACCTTCGGGCTGATATGGGCGGGATAGAAATAGTGTAATTAATTAAATAAATAAATAAGTCTCCTTGGGTGGACCATTTCAATGGGTCCACCACCTCTGTGGAGGTGGGAAGGCGCAATAAGTCGATACCTGATAAGGTGGTGGTCAGTCCATGGCAACGGAGCGATGGTCAGCTCCTCCACCCTGCCACCTTCTTCCCATCCCTGACAGAAAACCAGATCCAACGTACCACAATCATTAGTTACTTGGAATTCTTATTCTGAAATGGGTCCTGTAGACTTAGAGACAAGAGCCAATCTTGTGTAAACTTTAATATTTGGAAAGTAGGTTTGGCAGGTGATGTTGCACTTTTGGCACATGCCTCTTCACCAAACTGTACATTGTGGGTGGAGTGCTTGTGATACTTCAGATTTGGAGAGTAGCATAGCAAGTGACTCAGGATTGTGGACACTACAGTATCTGGAGAGCCACTAGTTCCCAAACTCATTGCACAAGAAGTATTTCTAAAACAGAATTTCCCAAACTATTCCCGTTTCCTTACAGGATTCAATATTCTTATCTGGAGCCGTGAAGAGATGGTGGCTGAAAAGCAGGAGCGTCTCATGCAAGCTATGGCAGAGCAAGGAGTTGGATGCAGTAATGTATCTCGACAAGGAGGAAGAAGACAGAGGCTGTCAAATCCAGGAACAAGCAAACTTAAAACTAAACTACTCAGTCTTGAATTAGAGAGCTCTAAAACTCAGACCAAAGAACAGAAATTTCAAGAGAAGAAGAAAAGGAAGAATGCAGAGGACTAATCAGGCAAGCTTTTCTGTAGTGTAGGATCAGAACAAAACATATGCTGCCATGGTGGGCTGGAGTGGCTTCAGAGGTGGCAAACCCTTTGCTCCCATTATGGAATCTGGGTTGCAAAAATAAGGCATTCTTTATTAAAGACAATGATGAATAAATGTTCACTTGGATTTAAATGGGATGAAAGAACCACCATATTTGTGCATAGCCACTGTTTTTTAATTGCCTACAGCATGGCACGCACAGAGCAGCAATCTGGAGTATGCTGGCAATTCAGGTTGTTTTTCAGAACATTCATTTTACTTTCAGCAAATTGACCAGCCAGTTTATCCTCCTTTGCTGGGCCCATATTAAAAAGGAACACGGGTCTTTATTCCCTCAAACTCTTCTTCCAGTTGAGCTTTTTAGGGCAACAGTTAATCTGGTCATATTTGCATGTGTGAGAAAGTTACCCAGTATTTCAAACTTGATTGGGACCTAGATTTAGATTGTGTAGGACCAAAGGCTCATTGAGCCAAGATATGTGAGTGTAAAGGTTTTGTTACAGCAGTTTTTGTTATTATGTTCTTTTGTTCAGCACTTACTCACTATCCAAATGCTAATAAATATTTTGTATGAGACAAGTTGTTGTTGTTGTAGGCCTAGAAAAATGAAGCTTTTATTCAAGGATTTTGTGAACTCTTTAGTCAAGGAAATTGTCAAGTTTTGTGCCTGGAATAAATAAACAGTCGGTCTTCAACCTTCATAGGTTGGGATGCAAAAGCCCTACGAAACTGGAAAAAATGCAAATATAAATAAAAAGTATTAATACTGTTTTTTACCTGAGAGATCATTTCAGCAGAAGTTGACCATAGAATCATGCTGGAAAACCTTAAAGTGTTTTCTAGACATTTTAAGGTTTCCAGCTTGATTCTATGGTGCACCTAAAATTGCCTACAGGTAATGTATTTTTGGTTGCATATAGGGCAGCTGAGGAGGCAGCAGCAAATGAAGTAATTTGTAAATAATGAAATCTGTGAATGCTTAACCTAAAAATGTGGAGCGGACTGTATTGTATAAGTTTCTTAATTCCATTCTTAGGAGCAGTGATTGACTCCCTCTGTTTTTTCCTAAGAACTAAATGGAATGGAACAAAGAAAATTCTATTTCTGTTTTGAAATAGTCACTTAATGGATTGGTACCAAAGAATAATACCCAGAATAGGAAGGATATACAGGATATACTTGACTTACAGCGTAAGTTTAGATAGACATAAATGTGGGGAGCCAGTTCCATAAGGAATCGCTACAGCCCAGGGAAAGTATTCTGAAAGATGAATTCATTGCAGCATTGGTGGTTTTACTTAAGCCATCACCAGTTTAAAGCATGAAACAGTGATAGCTTACATTTTCTAGGCTAGAGAAGTGTGCTGATGATCTTCAGAGAGACCAGAGTAGGCAGCAACTAATGTTCCAAGCTGATCTTGGCTGGGGTGATCTGGCTTGCCATTAGATGGCAGTTCTTCAGAGTACATAGGCAAAGAATAACTGGTAAAAACCAACTTCTTTTGCTTTGCCTTCTTCAAAATGCTTCCAAACCAAGAAAGTACCTCAGGAGAGAGGCAACATGTCTCCTGCTGTGTCTTCTGCAGCAGGTGCAAAGGGTACAATAGAAGAAGGGACAATGCATCTTTTGCTGGGGGCCCTCTCCAGGAAGCTTGCCATGTGAAGAAAGCAGGCTCCAGTTGCAAAGTTTCCACTTTGCCAGGCAGAGGGAACGTGTTCAAACACACCAAACCCTCTAGTGTCTTCCTCCATTTGCTTTCCCTTCTAAGCAAGCAAAGCAAATCCCTTCCTTCCAGCAATGCCAAGTCTGCAATTGGTTTCTCCTGCCTCTGCACTGTCCCAGTCTGGGTAGGTAAAAGAATGCCAGCCCAGTCACCTCTTCTTACCATACAAAATGTCACATTGGAGCTCTGAATAGCCTCTTTCTTGCTTCAAACCCATAATTCCCTTACCATTTCATAATTCCCTCCTGCCTTGCTGTCTCACCTCGCCCAAGCCAACTACACAGAAATGCTGGGAGAGCTATGCATTGTGGGTGAGACTCTTATTTAGTTCCAGAGAAACATTGCAAATTTAAAATATTGGGAAATTGGGGCGACACAAATTAAGACTCGCCTGTATGTGAGTTTAATACCTCAACAGATGTTCTTCCCAACATACGTACTTCTCTCTTCCACCCTAAGTTCTATTTCCATTCAATATTTAAGCGTGATTCTTTTTTTAAATAATACATTTCAAGATGTTCAGATATTGTGTTAATTTTGTAAATCTGTAGAACAGAGTGTTTCATGTTTTAAAGGTATTTCTATAAATAATTCATTGACATGCAACATAAAAAGCCAACGGTGTGATACACACAAAACAAGATCTACTTAGTTGAACTCATTACTGGGGAAAATATTTCCCAACTAACACTAACTTAGATACAAAGAAAGATGTCTAGTGCAGTAGAATGAAACTTCTTCTTGTGGTCAAGCTTTGAAACCTCAGCAAAGGAAGAAGGCACAGGAATCTGGTTCCATCTTGATTTTTAATGCAAAACTGCTAGGAAAGTTACCAGTTATAGAAAGATCAATCAGCAGTTCAGTTACACTGTAGACCTATTTCTCCCATATGTACCAAATCAGATTGCTTTCTCTCTTGATTTATTACCTTGGTTGCGGGATATCAATGTATTGGTAGCTGACCCATTTGTAGCAGATACTCTTCTGGGCTTCCTTTGACTCCAGGCTTGTCTCCTGACCTGCAGGAGTTATGTCATGCAGTTTAGGTGATCAGCAAAGAAAATACGGGCGAGGATAGTTCCCAAGCTAAGTTGGCCAACTTTTTTCGCAGATCTGTTCTGCCAGCTGAAGTCTATTGATAAGTCCATGTACAGGGTCTTGGGAAGAAATAAACACGTGGAGGATATTTGGTGAAGATGCAGAGCCTTCACCCTCAATAAGATCTTGTAGTGCCTGTGGCAAGTGTTAGCCGTCAATTAATGCAGTGATGATTAGGAAGTCAGATTATGTAGTGGGTGAAAGGAGCTGCCTTTCTATTGTATTGCACTTGTATTGGAATCTCAGCTCAAGTGGCACCCATCACAGGAATGGCTGATTTGGTCCAGTTCCAACTTTTCCCCTTAGAACATTCTAATGGGTTAGAGAAAATTACTTAACAGCACTAAACAGTGCATGTTTATTTAAAAGGGAATCCCTTGGGTCCATTGGGATTTACTCTAAAAATGTTTAGGATTGCAGCCAGACTGTGTTCTACAAAGGGAGGTAGTGGTTTGATTCCCCGTTACTGGCTCGGCCGGAGAAGCCAGTTATTGCTGGTTTAGCATTCGGTCCCTTTCTCACAACTAGGAGATGTACAAATAATAACTGCTATACTGTACAAGGCTTTCTAAGAAGCAGCATGCTTTAGTTGGAAAATTCGCCTTTTCTGGACCAGTAGTGGAGACTATAAACAGCACATTGGGTTCAAAGGAAGTAAGATTGTGTCCTTGATAGAACTTGTCACAGACTGACAAACAGCAACCCCAAATCCGACTAAAATTTCACTCCAAATAAACTGCATGATGCAGAAGCTGCACCAGTTAGTCTTGGGCCTTTGGGCTTAAAAGCAATCAAGGCAAACCAAAAAAGACACTTAGTCACTGAAAGACACCCCTTTTGTTCCTGGGGCAAATGCTGTTCCCTATGGCTGCCCCATCAGAAGGGGCTGGAGCAATTGTCAAGGCTGTTCCTCTCCTTCATCGGAAATGTGCCGATAGCCCGGAGGCTGTGACTTTGCACGGAATATTACTATCAGGAGCAGGACAATAAGCAGGAAGAGGATGCAGCCACAGATAGCCAAACCCACGATAAATTCTGCAAAGAGTGAAACAAACAAGAACTTTAGTTAAGACATTCAACTTCTCATATGTTCTTTAGTGTATCCAGCACAGCAGGAACTGCTCACCTATGTCTTTCATGGAATTTGCTATCTGGCATTCCTGTTTCCAGTTCTGTGGAATAACAGGCTCTGTGAGTTGCAAGAATTTGAGAAGGGGGCAGCGCTGCTCACACCCAGGCAGCTGCAGGGGGTAAGGCTCTTTTCCACTCTCATTCCTAAAGAACATCTCCACAGAGAAATTTCTAGGAACAAAGGAGCACAAAAATATTGATTAATCATTTGTAATTGGTTTTCCATTATTGCACAATCCTGTTCAACTGTTTGTAATTCAGTTTGTAACTATCAAATTATTACTTACCATATATTAGAGTATAAGGTGACCCAAATATAAGCCGAGGCACCTAATTTTACTATAAAAAACTGGGAAAACATATTTGACTTGAGTATAAGCTGAGGGTGGGAAATGTAAATTTCAAAATAAAGATACCAATAAAATTACATTAATTGAGGCATCAGTAGGTGAAATGTTTTTGATTATTTACATAAAACTAATTTAAGGTAAATCTGTCCAACTCTGAATAAAGCATTATTCTAACATTCTTCAATGTAGATGTGCTTACGTATCCTTCCAATAATAGAGCAAAATAATAAATGTAATAAAAATAATCATAGTCTAAAATAATGGAAATATAATAACAGTAATAATAGAGTAAAATAATAAATGTAATAATAAAAAGTACAATGATAAATGTAATAATAAATACAGTAAAATAATAAATGTTAATAATAATAAGAGTAAAATAATAAATGTAAAAATAACAATAGAGAAAAATTATAAATATAATTAAAAATGACAGAGTAAAATAATGTAAATGTAATAATAATCATAATAAATAGAGTAAAATAATAAATGCAATAAAAATAATGATAACAGAGTCAAATAATAACTTTAACTCGACTAGAAGCCGAGGGAGGCTTTTTCAGCCTTAAAAAAGAGCAGAAAAACTCAGCTTATACTTGAGTATATACGATATATGTGGTTTTGTGGGAGTAAGAGGAAAAAAAGATTGCTCTTAAACTGGAAGCTACTTGTTGGTTTAAGGGTATAGCTCAGGGGTCCTCAAACTAAGGCCCGGGGGCTGGATACAGTCCTCCAAGGTCATTTACTTGGCCCTTGCTCATAGTCAACCTAAGTCTGAAATGACTTGAAAGCACACAACAACAACAACAACTCTATCTCATCAGCCAAAAGCAGGCCCACACTTCCCATTGAAAAACTAATAAGTTTATATTTGTTAAAATTGTTCTTCATTTTAATTATTGTATTGTTTTTAAGTGTTTTTGCACTACAAATAAGATATGTGCAGTATGCATAGGAATTCATTCATTATTTTGTTTCAAATTATAATCCGGTCCTCCAACGGTTTGAGGGACTGTGACCTGGCCCTCTGTTTAAAAAGTTTGAGGACCCCTATACTTAACTTAATATTCATCAGAAAGATCCATTCATGTTAACTATATCCAAGATATACTAATGCTGATAAGTCATTACAAACAGGAGTATCTTGTATTGAGACCAGAAGTAATCAGAAACGCTGAAAAGCAATGCTTTAGTCATGCCTGTTTTAACTCCTGCATCATAGGAGAGAGAATATCTAATTGCTGTTTCAGTTCAAGATTTCAACAAGTACTGCAATATCTCCTGTGGCAATGTGGGCAAGAGTGAAGGTATGAAAGGCTGAGAAATCAGTTGCCTGTGTTTATGCTGGAATTTCATTTGATCATCTAAACGAAGTTCTCACCTGTCATCTTCCTGGAATAACTCAAATATATGACATGAAGCATATGGTGCTTGTTTTCCATTGTAAACATCCAGTGCCATCTGTAGTGCCACAAGAGTGGTGTCATGCTGAAACAAAGAAGAAGAAAAGTGGATCATTCATCTCTGCACGTATTAGAAGAGATCAAAAACTACTGTCAAATGGATAAAACTGACTGATGTTCCAAAACTGCTGGTAGAAGGGGGGGGGGGGGGAAGCAGCTTCCAGAGCCATGGTAGAGAAGGTAACATCCCATATCAGCTATGAAAAGAGAAATAAACTAGGAAGAGCATAGAAGGGAGTATGACTCAATAACTCTGGCTGAGAAAAGTCCTGTTTCCTGAATGTAATACCTGCAGATGTAGAAACTATGTGCTTATGCACAGGCTGCAAAAGGAAGTTAATATTTTATTGCATGGAGGCGTGGAGATGCTGATTTGTGTATTCTTAGTTTCATAGCATAGGAGAGAGAAACTGCACAAGCATTGCCTAATCAGATGAGGAATGTGCAAACATAAGATAGGGAAGGGGAAGGTAAGATCAGAAAGAAGAAGTTAAATATAGATCCCGCATACAAACTTACTGCTGAGTACATAAGCATTTTCAAGTGGGAGGGTGAAGAGGCATTTATAGCTAGAGTCAGGTTTTTTCTGATTTGAGACAGAAGGACCCCTGCAGAAAGAGAACAGGCTTTTAGATCTCTGTTTTTTAGATATTCCTCCAATTATATTTGAAGCTACTTCCCCAACCCTTCACTTACCCCCTTGCAGACGACTTTTTTCCACCTGTCTGTGAATCCCAAAAAGGAATTTAAAGCTGAAATCCTTCAGTTGCTGCAGCTGCGTCATCACCTCAGTAGTAACCCAATCTGGTAAAGGCATTTTGTGTGCTTTCTACAAAAATGAAACACGGGGAAAGTCACTGGCAGCTAGTGCAATGAATAATGTGAATACAGACATGTATGGGTAAACACATACAACACTGAGATGGGACAATTTAGTCTAGAATCTGTTATAAGTTTTCTTGTAACAGAGTAAATCTTTGCCATGTGAGCTTCCACTTCTTGCCCAGGAGCCTAGCTGCATTTGTACAATTACGTTGTGCTGAACACATCAAAAATGTTAAAGAATGTCAGTAGTCAATCAGAATGGATGATGTATCCAAGAAACCAGAATATGAACAAGATTTGCTAAAGCAGCTATGAAGGAACCAGATGAAGTTCCACAAGAATAAAGGTAGATCACTGAATGCCAAAGTCAGTTTCATCCATGTTACAGTATTTCTGATTTCCACCGATGGATGTGAAAGCTGGCAAGCTGCCCCACAACTGTGGAATGACCTGCCCGAAGAGTTCCGAGAGCTAAACAAGATGTCAGAATTTAAAATGCAATTGAAGACCCATCTCCTCTGGCAGACCTACCCAGTCAACTTTCAATCATGAGTTTTGATTTACATTCTATTGCCACTATATGTCAATTCTGTATCTGGGTTTGGTACAAGTTTATATATATGTATGTGTGTGTGTGTATGCAATGTAATGTATTTTTATGTTCATTTGTTTTTGAAGTTGTTGTACCCTGCCTCAAGCCATCAGGAGAGGTGGGTAATAAATAAAAATGATGATGATTATTATTGGATACACAACAAGATCAGCACACAGCAAACAAGATCACTATGCTGGCTTTTGTGTTGGATCACATGCCGGAGACTTCTCGAACGTCTAAGACTATGTGATGCATCATCAAATAATGCATGCAGATCTGAGTAGGGTAGTCTTTTGCAGCTGTCGGATGTCAATTTTGTAAGCGCCGATTGTGTTTAAGTGCAGGTCAAGGTCTTTAGACACTGCACCCAGTGTGCCGATCACCACTGGGACCACCGTGACTGGCTTGTGCCAGAGTCTTTGCAGTTCGATCTTTAAATCTTCGTATCGTGTAAGCTTTTACAGTTGCTTCTCATCAATTCTGCTGTTGCCTAGGATTTCAACATTGACTATCCATACTTTGTTTTTTTCCATGATCATGAGGTCAGGAGTATTGTGTTCCAAAACTCTATCAGTCTGAATTCAGAAGTCCCAGGGTAGTTTTACATGTTCATTTTCTGTAACTTTTTAGGCTTGTCATTCCACCAGTTCTTTGTCACAGGGAGATGGTGTTTGTAGCACAAGTTCCAGTGGATCATCCAATGGGTAATAAATAAAAAATCATCATCATCTCTTGGAAGCCTCTCTTTCATTGGATCAAAGATGACTTGATGACAAAGAACAACAGCAACTTGTATTGCAAATGAAGCATACTTCACCTTTTCCATCTTACTAGACACATCTACCCAATATCTAAAGACCTGTAGCAGTCTTTTAACAGTTTTGGCAGTGGTCACAATTTTATTGAAAATGGCAACATGTGCTTTTTAATGTGACATGAAAAACCTTCGTACCACTCAGTCTTAGCAAATGTATGGCATAGCTTTTCTGGTGGGTGAAATGTCTCTGCTCTTAATCTGTGAACTCACAGAAGTTACAATGGCAAAGGTATTCAGGCTACTCTGCTTATTTTCAGTCACATTCAGTTTTTAGTGTCGTTTGAAACTAGAGTTGCACCATATGAAAAAGCCCTACTCTGAAATCATGGCTCAATCTGGATACAACAATCTGGAAAATTATGCACATTTTCTTGCTAATTAGTTAATATGTAGGTGGCAAGAAAGCAAAAGGTTGAAACTGTTAAGTGGTTTAAGCTATCACAAAGCTTTGATGATTCATCAGAAAAGTAGTTTATTTAGCAAGAGTTGTTCCTTAGGTCAGCTGATGGAAAGTCAAGAGGGAAGTTCAAGAATAAACAAGTTTAAAAATTACTGTGGCTTATAACAGCTCATGAAATTTGGGGCTACAGCTCTCTTCAGCCCCAAACAGCATGGTCAGTTACGAGGACTGATGGGGGTTATACAGTGGAATATCTGTTGGGCAAGGCTACATGATACTTGACTACCCTGCAAGGCTTATTTTTAGGCACCCTCTAAATGTTACTGTGCAATATTTTTAAATTCATACTTATCAAAACTTGTAATCTGTGGATAAAGAAAGATACACCATGTAATAGTTGCATTTCCTCCTTGAAAAAAGGGGGTGTAAGTATTATGTGGTGAAAAAATGTAGCTGAGGGAAGCCCCATAGTTGCAAAGAGGGCAGGCTAGCAGGTGGGGGAGTGAGGACTCACTCACCCTTATGTCTGTCCCTGAGTTACACCACTTATTCACTCTGATGCAACTACAGTGTTCCCTCGCTGCTTCGTGATTCGCTTTTAACGGACTCGCTGTTTTGCGGGTTTTTGAAAATATTAATTAAAATATTAAATATTTACATCCAGTGCAGGCCAGGGACCCCGGAAGTGCGGCAGCCTGAGGCATGGCAGGGAAGGCCTGCCTCCCTGGCCTGCTGCTGCCTGTGTGGCTCCGAGTCTGCAGAGGCCTGGGAGGCAGGCAGGCGCTCTTGGGATGGGCCAGGAGGTGGGTAAGGAAGTGCGAGAAAATAATATATAAAATATATAAAATAATGTATCAATATTAAAATTAATATGGCCCTACTTTGCGGATTTTCACTTATTGCGGGTGGTCCTGGAATGGAACCTCCGCGATAAGTGAGGGAACACTGTATTATGTGAGAAACAGAAAAATACCATTTTTTCCATCCCTAAAATGGGGGTGCGACAAATGTGGAGGCGACCATTATGAGATGAAATACAGTATACAAAGTATTGTTGGCATTCATGAAAAATATCTTAAAAGGAGAGGCATAGCTTCAAATTCTTCAAATGACTGCAGGGCTAAGTTCTGTTAAGCATAATTATTTTCCCTAATTTCCATGAGTAATGGTTGTTGTTGTAGCCATAGAAAAGGTACAAAACTGAATGCTTTAAAAGGAGTAGTAGATACAGAACCTGACATACAAGGAAATGACCTACATAGGGCAGTAATAGAAAAGGCCTGCTGTGATGGTGACCTTTAGGGAAGATTCCTATTTTACAAAATCTAGGGAAGAAGACTGCAATGTATGTCGAGGCACTCTGCCCATGAAAATAAGGAGGAGGATGAGGAGGGCAGGTTTTGTGGTTGCATTCGTCAATATACTGGTTCATCCCATAGGAAAAAAAACCCATTCACTAGAGAGAAACTTAGTAGTGCCCCAAGGGAAACTATTTAGGGAAAGTAAAAACCTGGCTGTCATGGAAAGCCAAGTCTTTTCCCATCATATCCCAATACCTTTATATTTTGCTTTGGTTTTTGCCATACAAGAGAACTGCATACCTTAAATAGGATGCTTATGTGTTGATAGGTATAGATCTTAAGTATCACTTATTTGAACAGTCTTCCTTTGTTTCCAGAAAAACTTTCAGTTCACTGGAGATTCTAATTACTAGAAGGTAAGTTTTGCTCACTACATGCATACTGTTCTGTAGAGTTCCCTAATCCTCTACAGCAGACTCAGGCTCTGCTAAAAAAAAAGGACGTTTAGGAAAAGTCATCCTCCATCTCTGTTTTTACTATGAGTAGAGTTCCACCTGTGGGGAGTGAAGTCTTAGGCCACAGATTTAAAATCTTCCTTAGGAGAGATTAAATACATAGTTTAAAATAACTGGACACTGTAGAAATTACTTCACTCAAGACAAGCCTATAAAATGCTTCCTATTTCCCTTGTGGTATTCATTTTAAAAAGCCCTTTAGAGAAAAGCACAGGAAATTTCATATACTGAATTGCCTGTATTTTTCTTAAGGAAAGTTTTTTAAACAGTTTGGAGAGCAAATGATGTGGTCAAGGTGTCAGGCCACTTACCTCACAGAAAAGTGTGTCATATATACTCCAGACACTTTCTAGAGTAACATCCTGGATTCCTGTCATATTTGCTACCATTTCCAAGAATTGCTGTAGAAGAAAGGAATAGAATCATTCAATTTTTCATTGACCCCTGAAGGTTACATAGTATTATTTATTATTATTATTTATCATATCAGAAGCAAACCAATTTATTTGAGAAAACACAAACTTTAAAAACTTGGCTTTCTATTAATAATGGATGAAAAACATTGAGGCTATGTCCCATGCAACTGCCCCATGCAACTGTCTTAGGTCAAAACCTAACATTTCAATGTTAATAATATATTTTAAAAGATGGTCTTCTTTATAAATATCATACCCCCATTCTGGTCGCCAGTAGCTAGCGACCAGAAGGTTATATAGTACAACCTCCATATTCATGGGGGTATGATCTGAAACACACACCCCTTGGGTACCTGGAATCATGGACAATAGTGAACCCTATTATTTTGACTATACCTCGGCTGGATTAGTGTTTACCTCAGTGCTGGAGGACCTTGAAAGGCCCACTAGCACTTCTGGAGTGGGGGAACTTTTTTTGGAGCATTGGTAAGTGAAACCATGGATATCGAATCTGTGGATACGGAGGTCATACGGTATAAATTAGAAAGCTTAATATATCCCATCATACCATGTTTTCAACAGTCTTATTCACATATTCTGCTGTCTGTCGGGTCTCATTTTGCAGTTGTTCGTAGCGAGGACAATGAGATAAAGGAAACTTCAGGAGCTGGAAAGAGGCAAAATAGAGGAGTTTGAATACAAATCATTCCATACAATCAGTATTAACTGGAGCATCTGCTTATTAGAGACTACTTTCCCTAAAGTATTTTTATCTGAAGGCAGGTTTTTTAGACAGGTGTAATGGTCTCCTTGAATTGCACCTTCATCCAAAATAAGGAACTCTTTAGAGAGGAAATTTTTAAAGTGCAATCCTCCAAGTGGAATTCAGACTGTAATTCCCATCCTTCATCACCCTCTTCCCTATGATGACTAGAACTAATAGTAGTCACAAAAAACAGTATCTGGAGGACCTCTTCAACCCCCAAATCAGGTTGAAGAAGAAGAATAGTTCTGTTCAGTATGGATGTAAAGAAGGCAAGATAAATGTTTCTTGAGTCAATCAGGTCATTATACTGATCTAAAAGTAACTTACCCGTTCCAAAGAATCAGGAACTGTGTGGACAGGGATGGGCTGCCAAGAAACATTGGGACGGAAGACCTGCTGGCCCTCTGGAGGGTACAGTCCTGCCAGATTAGCCTCAGCGCTCATCAGGGTCCGATCAAAATCCGTGCTGCGTATGAAGATCTGCCAGAGCAGACCACCAAATGTAAAGTTTGTTTCATTAGTCACTAATGTTTTCAGCTTTGTTTAGGAGCCAGAAAAAGAGGGTCTGGCTCTATTACCTACACAAAATGAGCACCAAAGAAGCCCACAATAACTTGATTTCAACAATCATTGTAGAAAGTTGAGAAGTCGAATGGGAATTCCATTGTCTTGTTACAACAGCTCCACTGACTATTTATTTAGAGACAGTATAAACAGTGGAGTTTAATGTTGAGATAATTGATTTTAATGTTTATTTATGTCCTGACATTGAATGTTTGCCATTTGTATGTTGTGCTCCACCCTGAGTCCCCTTCAGGGTGAGAAGGGCAGAATATATTTTTAAAAAATAAATAATTTAAAAAAAAATGTATTTTTACCCTGTTCAATCTCAACCCCAAAAGGGACTCAGAGTGGCTTATAAACATAAACATACAAATAAACATACAAATGCATTAAAATCAATTAAAAAATCATAAAACCATAAAATATCAATATATTAAATAAGCTGTTAAAAAGATAACACAAAGACCGGAAATCATAATCCAGGAGCTATTCCACTGCTGTGTTTCCAACCATGTTTAAAAATGCTGGCTATAAACTATAAAGCCCAATACAGTATGGGTCTGTTATCTGGATATATTCTCTGACATGAGCCTGACTGTGTTTTGAGATGCCCCAGGTGAGGCCCTTATCCACCTTTTACTACCTTCACAGGTACATCTGATAGCAACATGGGAGTACCTTGTGGCTGCTCACACTCTCAGGATCCTATGTCCAAAAGGTTTGACTAGCACCTCCCTTGCTATCCTTGCAGATTATTTCTTTTGTCAGAACTTAGAGAAGCAGTTATTCATAAGGAACGGGTTTTTAATAATGTGCAGTATTATCTACATTTTGTTTTTTAATTTTATTTCAATGATGATGCTTTTTAATTGACAGTTTAATTGTATTTTAACTTTTCCATAATATGAACCACTATCTATTTCTGGTTTAAAGTTTAATGTAATCCTGCCCTGAGACATAATGTTGTTTAGCGCTGAAGTATGACTTAAGTGAGCAAGGCAAACAACATGATGTGACTGTAATTAGATATGGAATTTTTACTCTATATAATGGTAAATCATAAAGAAATAGTCACTGAGTCAGAACATGAGGGCATGGGAAAGCAAATGCAATCCAGCCCCTTCTTCAGTGCTGCTATATGTGATATCCCTTACTCTTCTCATGTCCAAAGGTCTGAATAGTATTCAGATTAATTTCCAGGAATATTAGGATAAGGTTGATGCACGTATTTTGTGACCATATATGTTGAAGCTGAACAGGTAATAGCCACGACTTAGGCTAGGCCTCTCTTGTGACATCCTCAAGGGCACAGGCAAATGTTAGCTTTCATACTGAGAAGTGGTGTTGCAACAAATGCGGAAGTGGAAGACATCTTTCCAAACAAAGGCATTCCAGACAAAGGCAGCTCACTGCAGTCCCATAATTATCTGTGTACAATGCAAACTAGATGGAAATTACTACAGTTAGAAACTCCAAGGATTAGCATAAGCGTTGAAGAGGAATATAATGCTTTAATAGCTCTAGTAAGCAAATCAGTAGGTAATGACATATAACTCTCTCAAGCAGCACAGAACCTTCAGGATAAAATGTAGAAAGTGAGCATAAAAGGGAGAACAGTTGACCATGAGTTAATTGGCAGAAGCCCCCCAAATAGTACACATCTATGGACTCAGAATAATACACATGCTTCCAAAGAGATTTTCTTGTAATTTAACTAGTAATAGTTGCTTACATTTTCTAAAACACATTATTAAAACAGTCAATAAACTGCTAAACAAAATGAATGTTTTATGTCTTTTATGTTGTTGTGTACCTTCAAGTTGAATCCGACTTATGGCAATCCTAAAGTGAACTTATCACAGAGTTTTCTGGGGCTGAGAGTGTGAGACTTGCCCAAGGTCACCCACTGGGTTTTTATGGCTGAGCAGGAAATCAAACCCTGGTCTCTGGAGTTGTAGTCTAGTGCTCAAAGCACTACACCAGGAATGAATTAAAGAGTTAAAGAAAAGCCGGAAGAAGAAAGCTAACAATCCAGTTGGACTGGCTCTTTTTCTAACCTTGTGGTAAGGTGACCCTGTCATCATAAATCTGGTTTCCAACTAAAGATTGACACAGTGTTTGAGAAGAGGCTAGCACTCTGTTATCTCTTGCTTAAATCACTTCATTGGACATAGTTTAGATTATCTGTTTTTATTGCTCAGGCAATGGAAAACTACAGGTCAACTGACCTGAGAGCTCTTGATTTTTTTTGCTCTTTGGAAGATTAAAGAGACATGTTTGGACAAGGTACATTTCCTCTTCTTTTTACAACTGAAGAAAATAACCTAATTTATACTTCAAAAAACAATTCTGTTTACCCTCCTCTTTGTTTGCTTGTAGCGGTTTTATGTTACCAAATAGCGTTCACCCAATTCTTTTGAATCTTATTTATGTCGCTCTCTTGCTCCAGTCAGCAAGTGTCTTATGTTCTTCTATTGTCTGAATACAACTTAGCAAACAGTTTTTAATCAAATGATGTCTCACCCTCTGTAATCTTCCTTGGCACAATACAATTAGGGAAAAAATGAAAACATGCAGATTTGCAAAAAAGGAGGGGAAGAAAGAAGAGCATGCTGTACTTCTACAACACTAGTAATGTAGGATACACTAACCTCTTGTCTGTTGTATGAAGCATTCAGAAATTCAACATAGCGTTTTCGGAGTGCTTGGCCCAAGTCCCATTGTTGCCGCATCCCTTCCTACATATGTCAACAGTAACAGTTTAACAGCCAAACGGGTTTTATTGCCATCTTGCAAAAGAACACAAGATTTACAGTCAGTAACAATTACAGCTTGAGTGTAATTGATTGAGGAAACATTACCAAAAAAGTCCTTGAAATGGATAAAGTGGGTGGACTCTGACTACTATAGTTATATATTTTATATTACATGTTACATTATTAATAATATTACAATATAAAAGTATAATACAATATAGTAATATATAATACTGATGCTAATAATATAATGTGTTGTATGTATATAAATCTTGTAAGCCGCTCTGAGTCCCCTTTGGGGTGAGAAGGGTGGCATATAAATACTGTAAATAAATAAATAAATAAATAAATACTATATATTCCTTTTAAAATATTATATACATTTTTGAACAATTTTACTTTTAAAATGTAATATAGAAATGGGATTTAAACAACATAGCAATTTGCTTTGATCTGAAGACACTTTTGAGTCCATCTACATGGGCCAAATAAGTCAGTTTGGAGGCGAATTGACTTTATGGTGGTCAAACAATGCATGGGGTCAATTTGTCGTAATGCCATCTTCTCCCATATTGAGAAAAGTCACAGGATGCTTTGGAGGTACCCCATGTTTCTAGCCAGTGCAAACCCTTGGTCTGCTCCATATTTGGGAAGTGGCTGCAACTGTTTACATCACCATCCCATTTTCCCCAGATTTAAGCAACCTGTGGACAGGGATATTTTCTCCTCATTCTGGGCTGTGCAGTGTCCATCAAACACAACAATGGTGTTGATCACTGCTCAGCGTCAATTGTGGCCTGTTTAGATGGGCCCGTTGGCTTCTTGGGAATGCAGTGGGAAAAGAAATGCTGTTCAGATTGAGTGTCCCTTAGTCGAAATGCTTGGAGCCAGAAGTGTTGGGATCCCCCTCCCCTGGATTTTGGGATACCTGTATTTACTTATATGTGGATAGAGATATCTTGTAGACCAGGCATGAGCAAACTTCATCCCTCCATGCATTTTGGACTTCAACTCCCACAATCCCTAACAGTCGATAGTTTGCCCATGCCTGCTGTAGATGAAACGCAAGTCTGAACACAGATTTAATTTGTTTCATACACATGTTATGTGCCTGGTGCAGCAGTGAGTTAAACCGCTGAGCTGCAGAACTTGCTGACCAAAAGGTTGCAGGTTCGAATCTGGGGAGCGAAGTGAGCTCTCATTGTTAGCACCAGCTTCTGGCAACCTAACAGCTCAAAAACAAGCAAATGTGAATAGATCAATAGGTACCACTTTGGGAAGGTAACGGCACTCCATGCAGTCATGCTGGCCACATGACTTTGGAGGCGTCTATGGACAATGCCAGCTCTTCAGCTTAGAAATGGAAATGAGCACCACCCCCAAGAATTGGACATGATGTCTTAATGTCAGGGGAAAACCTTTACCTTTACCTTACACATATTATACATATAGCATAAGGATAAATTACAACAGTTTAAAGAACTTTGTGCATGAAAGGTTAGTGTACAATGAACCATCAGAAAGCATAGGTGTTCTTATCTCGGCCACACATGGGGGCAGGTATTTGCAGCATTTTCAGGTAATTTGCCCAACCTGTACCAACTGTTGCTCCCCTGAAACCACAAAAGAGGAATCCTCAGACTGGCTCTGCATGGAAAACTGGAAACATACACCTTGTTTGATACCTTTCGTCAAAGCAATTTTCTGAATTCTAAAAAAAAAAGTACAGATTTGGAGCGCTGAGTTCTCACAGAAATTTCTTAATGGGATACTGACCTGAGAGAGTTGTCCAAATCCTTGGGGCCAGGCACTTTCCTGATAGGGATCTCGGGGATATGCCTTCACTGGGGACCGATCTCCATGTCGATATAACTGAAAATCAGAACAATGTGCCTAAGTATTCCACGTAACCTTTTCAGCTCATTCTGATACATCTGGGCTCTTCCAGACAGACCCTATATCCCAGAATCGGATACGAGCTTATCCCAAAATATCTGACAGTGTCGACTCACTTAATCCAGTTTCAAGCAGAAAACCTGGGGGCATATCCTGGGATATAGGGTCTGTCTGGAAGGGCCCCTTGTCAGTTCCTTAACGGTTTCCTCCAGAGATAACTGGAGACGGCAATGTTCCTCCACTTGCCCCGAGGTGTGGAAAGACTGCTTGTTAAGATCTGGCCGCCTGTTGTTACACCCAATAAAAGGATGCAAACTTCCTGGCTGGCATAAACATTACAAGCAAGGCAGAAGCAGTCCTGCCATAATAAACCTGGGTTGTTGTTAATTTCCCAGGCTGTATGGCCATGTTCCAGAAGCATCCTCTCCTGACGTTTCACCTGCATTTATGGCAAGCACCCTCAGAAGTCTGTTGGAAACTAGGAACATGGAATTTATATATCTGTGAAGTGTCCAAGGTGGGAAAAAGAACTCTTGTCTGTTGGAGCTAGGTGTGAATGTTGCAATTGGTCACCTTGATTAGCATTTAATGGTCTAGCAGTTTCAAGGTCTGGCTTCTTGCTGCCTGGGTGTATCCTTTGTTGGGAGGCAATTCGCTGGCCCTTATTGTTTTTTTTTCCCCCTGGAATTTTGGGTGTTCTTCTTTATTTACTGTCCTGATTTTTAAAAATAGCCAGATAGCATTCATTTTCAACACTCAAAAACAGAGGAATTCCAAACAAGAAAAGGATCAGGGCCAGCTAATCACCTTACAATAGGATTCCCCCAGGCAGTAAGAAGCCAGACCTTGAAACCGCTGGGCCATTACATGCTAATCAACATTCTCACTTACCTCAAACAGACAAGAGTTCTTTCTCCCACCCTGGACATTTCACAGATATATAAAACCCATTTTCCTAGTTTCCAACAGACCACACAACCTCTGAGGGTGCCTGTGATCGATGTAGGCAAAACGTCAGGAGAGAATGCTTCTGGAACATGGTCATACAGCCCAGAAATCTCACAACAACCCACTTTTGCAATTTGTCCTTTTGGGCTGACCTTCTGACTCCTGCTATTATGATCTTATTGATTGATAGATTGCAATTCTATTTCAAAGTGAGAGGATTATCCTAACCAACCCAATCTTCGCCTGTTTTGACAGCTCAGCTCAATAAGGCGGGGGGGGGGGGGGGGAATAATAAGGGCTTTCCCAAATATACTGCAAAAGAGAAAGTGGATCCCAAAAGGGAAGCAGTTGCAAGAAGAAGAAAAAGACAATTGGAAAAGAAATATTGTTTTGGTGCTTTTGTGCCTCCCCTGCTCTCTCCTCCCTTTTTGTGTGTGCCTTGAGCCTGGCATCACGTGACAGCCCCAAGCAAGCCCTCTCCCCTCCTGGCAGCCCCCCCCTCCCCTCCCCCCTTTGTCCCTGGCGATGCCTCCCTTGCTTACCAAAGTCACAAAGCGGAGGCTCCGGGCGTGGGCCAGGGGCAGGGCGAGGGCCAGAGCCAGGAGCCACGGGAGAAGGGCAGCGCTCCTCCGGACCCGAGCCCTCCTGCCGCCGCCGCCGCCGCCCTCCATGGCTCTCCTGCTCTCTATCTCTGGCTGTTCCTCGCTCAACAGCCCTACCTTGGAAAGGCAGGACTGGGCATGCGCCCTATGTGCCCGCGCATGCTCACTCCCCGCCTCTGAAGCTCCCTCTTGCCCTGCCTGTCTTCTGCCACCTCTCCTCCTGGGCTTTGGGCAAAGGGCATCTGGGGGGAATGTGATTCATTCATCGCCCAGAAGGAGGCTGGCAACTGGCATGGGCAAACTTGGGCCATCCAGGTGTTTTGGACTTCAATTCCCACCATTCCTAATAGCTTCAGATTCCTTCCTTTTCCTCATCAACCTCTTATTAACTTCTAAGGAAGTAAGATAGAAACAGATCCTTGATCCAGGGTTGACACAGCAACTTAATAATAATAATAATAATAATAATAATAGTAATAATAATAATAATAAACCTTGATTTATACCCCACTACCATCTCCCGAAGGACTCGGTGCGGCTTACTAAAGACCAATCCCAAATACATCAGTAAAACACAACAATAACAATACAATAATAAAAACTCATTAACAAAGCCAAAACATTAACAATAACACCGCAGCGCATTAAAACCTGTGGCAGGGCCAAATGTAATACTTAAAATCTTTAAAAGTGCTGGGCATGATAAGGTGAAATAGGATAGATATTTTAGGGATAGGTGGGGAGTGCAGGCAATTCTAGATCTCTAGTAAAGTGCATTTGGGACATATTGCTTGGAGTTTCCTTATTCTGGGAAGGCACACTGGAACAACCATATTTTCAAGCTCCTTCTAAAGACTGCCAGCGTTGGGGCATGCCTGATGTCCTTGGGGAGTGAGTTCCAGAGTTGAGGGGCCACCACCGAGAAGGCCCTGTCTCTCGTTCTCACCAATCGTTCTTGCGATGCAGGTGGGATTGTGAGCAGGGCCTCTCCAGATGATCGAAGAGATCATGTGGGTTCATATACAGAGATGCGGTCATGCAGGTAGGCGGGTCCCAAACCGTTTAGGTAGGTAAGTACCTGCACCTTAAATTGGGACCGGAAAATGAACAGCAGCCGATGGAGCTCCTTAAACAGGAGGGTTGACCTCTCCCTGTAAGGAGCACCAATTAACAACCTGGCCGCCGCCCGCTGGACCAATTGAAGTGGGTGAAATGAGTTGCCAAGACAGGGTTTAGCGCAGGCCAGTAATTGAATTGTCTCATTCAGATTTGAGCTTTTACTAGGGACATTCCTAACACCACCCTTACTGCCACCATCAGCGTTGTTCTGGAAAGACCCAGGAGGGTAGAAGCAGAATTAATGCACCACTGATAACTATCATGGCTCAATATTGCGTGATCCTGGGAGTTGTAGTTTGGAGAGGCACCAGGACCATTACCTCTCTTAGGCCACTATGTCCATGGGCAAGTCTAGTCATGGGCAAACTTCAGCCCTCCATGTTTTGGACTTCAGCTCCCACAGTGCTTGACAGACTACCGGTAAAGCACCAGGACCATTACCTCTCTTAGCCCACTGTGTCCATAGGCAAGTCCAGGCATGGGCTAACTTCACCCCCCAGATGTTTTGGACTTCAGCTCCTACAATGCTTAACAGACTACTGGTGAGGCAGGAGGGCCATTACCTCTCTTAGCCCACTGTGTCCATAGGAAAGTCCAGGCATGGGCAAACTTGGGCCCTCCAAGTGTTTTAGACTTCAACTCCCACAATTCCTAATGATTAAGTGGCTGAGGGGGAAAGGAAAGGGCCGGAGGCTGTTAGGAATGGTGGAAGTTGAAGTTCAAAACACCTGGAGGGCCCAAGTTTGCCCATTTCTGTATGTCAGTGGTTCTCAACCTGTGAGTCCCCAGGTGTTTTGGTCTTCAACAACCAGAAATCCTAATAGCTGGTAAACTGGTTGGGATTACTGGGAGTTGTAAGCCAAAACACCCACAGGTTGAGAACCACTGTTGTATGTTGCTGTGTCCATTTCCACCGCATGGGACCCTATCACAGGATTGTTGTTGTTGTTGTTGTTGTTATTATTATTATTATTATTATTATATTTATATCCCACTTTTTGTCTCTCAAGTGCCTAAAACTAAACCTAATTCCAATAACATGGAATTAAATATAAAAGTATTAAAATACATAGTTGAAACTAATAAAATCAGTTTGTTTTTTTTTAAAAAAAAACAAACCCTCAAACTACATAAAACATAGCACCCCCAGGTTTTCTTGGCAAGATGATGACAATTGACGACTGCTTTTTTTATCTTGACCCAGACCCAAAGTGGTGCACGGCATTAAAAACAATGTAATTTAAAACCTGCTCCAATATTCATACGCAAATAAAATTAAATCCACAAATATTCAAACAAGTTGGTTAAAATCCCATTAAACAAATAAAACTATTAAAGTTATTCAAACATAATACAGTTCCCTTTGAGTCCTTCTTTAAAATGGTCTGTTTTTTAAAAACCCTCTACTTGAATAAAAGGACAACAGGGAGCTATCCAGCAGAGATTTGTTCAGAAGAGGTTTGCCATTGCTTTCCTCTTAGAGAGTGTGACTTGCCCAAGGTCACCAACTGGTTTCTGTTGTTTATTCCTGTGTGTTTCTTGGACACACAACACATTACATTGTTTACACTGCTGGAGAAATTATACTGTTTTGTTGGTACTGCATCACCTGACATTGGCTGGGAAGTAGTAGCCAGTAATGAAAGGACCAAGGCATTTACATCTCCGGCCCATTATCTGTTTGGCTATCAGCCAGCAAGCCAATGACTTAAATCAAGAAATAGCTTTCTAAGATCTACAGCAGGCAGAGGCAAAATAAGGCCATGCTCATTTCCCCTGTCCTCTCAGCATAAGGACACAGTGGCCTGCAACATCCTAATGCAGAAAGGATGATGAGGAAGGCACACAGCAGCTGAGAGCCCTTTGGAGCACTCTCAGCCACCCCATGTCTTGCTCTCCTCCTGGCATAAGGACAGTGCAAGTGGCCCAATCCTTATGCTGAGAGAACGGCTCAAAGAAAGCACACAGTGGCTGAGAGCTCTCGGGAGGGCTCTTGGCCGTTACGTGTTTCGTGTTCTTCCCAGCATAATGCCAAGAGGACAGCCCAAAGATCGGAGGAGGAGGATCAGGGAGGAAGATCGGGGAGGAGGATTGCAGCAGTTGTCACATGTCTCGTTTTCCTCCCAGCATAAGAATAGGGTGAGATGCCAGGAGGAAAACCTGGAGATGACCCAAAAGGGAGAGAGCCTGTGAGAGGGCCCTGCCCTGGCCCACCCCGCCATCTCCTGGCTCAGCCATCTCAGTCAGGCACTCAATACGGCCCCAAGGAAAAAAAGTTTCCCCATGCCTGATCTAAAC